GTGGTAATCCGGCTGTGCACCTGCACTTATGCCGCAAACAGACGCTGAATTTAGCAGCTGAATGTGGAAGTCAACAGTCATCGCCCAACGGCTGAAATTTAGCAAATTCGAGTTATTTTCATCCAGATGTGTATCAAATCTACTCGGATAGTTTAGACAAATTCAAAATTGGTCCGATGGTTGCTGAGAATCGTTGCTGAATTTTGCGCGTGACGCGCAAAATTCAGCATCGGGCCGATGACTTCCACATTCAAGCCACATTCAGCTCCCACATTCAGCGTGTGATTGCGGTATAAGGAGGGTCCCTGCAAAGATAAAACCACTCGTCCTAACGAAAAACTTCGTCATGAGCTCACGGATGTTCGCCAGTGACGATTCCAGCTAATTAATTGGCATCACTGTCAATCTCCATTTAAATCCATTGAATATATCGATTCTAAGTGAGACAGGCTGCCTGACCTAAAATCGATTGTTTGACATACGGAAGTGTAGAAAAACAAAGTTGTCAACTTGCAATAATCTCCAATGATTTCCGCAGTATGGACCTATAAGTAGCCCTCTTTTTTTATACCCTCGCGTTTAAGTCTCTGAGGGATTTTTCACGTTCGAACTTTAGTTGTAGCGGGAAGAGAAGTTGATCCTCAAGAAAACTGGCTCAAAAATCAGGAAGACCATATCGGTAAAGTCAGAACCTCGCTCCTAACTTCACAATCTGCGTAGGAACTTTCTGCACTTCGGAGCCTCCCGCTTCAAAAAATGGAGATGTTGCATGTGTGGGGAATTTGCGATTTGACTATTGATTCTTACGTAAAAGTTCGCGAGAGACACGATGGTGCCACTGGTTTTCTCTGAAATCAACTCCCAAGCTCAAAAAAGCCCTCAAGTTGAGGCCAAAATGGAGGGGATATCCCACGCTATCCTGAGAGTCCACGTCTACATCAAGACAAGCTCTCCATGCAAAGATAGGGAACAAATACATTAACAGGGTTGCCGTGTTTTCGGTTTTGGAGTCCCCAAATAAAGTGGCAGCCCTGTCAATGTATTTGCTCCCTATCTTTGCATGGAGAGTTTGTCTTGATGTAAACGTGGACTCTCAGGATAGCGTGGGATATCCCCTCCATTTTGGCCTCAACTTAAGAGCTTTTTTGAGCTTGGGAGTTGGTTTCAGAGAAAATCAGTGGCACCATCGTGTTTCTTGCGAACTTTTACATAAGAATCAATAGTCAAATCGCAAATCCCTCACACATGCAACATCTCCATTTCGGAGCTCCCGCTCCCCACTTCCAAAATTATACCACGGCTATTAATTCGATACTGATGAGTCTGTCCCTGACACCCCGCCCGACCACACTATAAAAAAAACCCCAGAGGCGGGTCCAGCAATTTACAGGGCGTCTAGTTTTTTTTCACTTTGGGGAAATCCTGATTTCATAATTTTCATAAAAATCCTGATTCTGTTGCGGAGTAAAATTCAACTCCACAAAAATAGCTCGATAAAAAAATCCGATCGGACGGCCGACTTTTTTCACATCCTGAGTTTACGAGCGATCATTCCTCAAATCCTGATGAAGTCGGGATTAAATTCTGATTGACCTCAAATCCTGATGCTAGACACCCTGATTTGGCAACACACCTCCAGTTAAACCCACGCTAAATAATTTTACATGAACTTAACCGTCAGTTAAGTTCATGTAAAATTTTCATTTGTTTGGGCAAATTTGTCCACCTCGGAGCGGAAATACGCTACTTTGCCTGGAAAACGACGATCTGAGGCTATGAGTGGGTATAAAAATTAGAATTAGAGATTATTATTCAATAATGATGCGAAAATTCTTGGACAATCGGTAAAAATAGGAAAGAAATTCCATGATATTGGAATCGAATAATTTTTTTGGCACAGAAAATGGACGTTTTTTTGATCACTGATTTTTTACAGACTAGAAACTGTTTAGGAGAAACTTGCTTAAAACCTCCAAATACTTGGACTTGACTTGGACCAAGTACTTACCGACGTACTCCTGGAAATAATGAAAACGTAAGGAGTGAAAAAATCTAAAATGAGTAGGTATACCTGAATTGAAATCTCTAGATGCTGAAACATTAAAACGGTCATGAATTTATTGAGAAAATTCCTATTTTCCGCGAAACCTCCAGTTTTTCCCGACAGTTCATGTGAAAACAAATGCCACGTACACATTTTAAGTTTAACACATTTTTCGCGAAGTCTACGATGTTCCTCCGGGTTTCCAAACAAATTTTCTCACGCTCCCCGGTTTTCCAGGCTGCTCTGCCGTGCTAAGGAAGAACGTCGTATGAACATTCGAGAGTTGCCAAATTTCCTTCGATAAAATGTTTATTTTCGAGGAAAGCCATGAATATTTTTCCTTGAAATTTTCAGAAGTTTTAGATCAAATTACGAACAAAATTATCTGAGAAACCGGTACACAAATATTCAACAATTTGCCTGAAAATTAGTGATTTGCTAGGGGAAATTTGGCAACGCCTGAACGCTCATACGGCGTTTTTCCTTAGCACGGCAGTACAAAGAGAAGAACCTTGATATTTTTCAAGTACGCAGGGCAGCCACGTAAAAGAATTAGAGTTCCCTGACGTTTCTAGTTTTCCTAGACCAATTTCAGGGAGTACAGCAATTTTCAAAAATAAAATTCCCTGACAAAAATGGCCAAAACACCAGGAAAAACTTACAGAAATCCCCTACAGACGAAAAAATAATTCCCTGACAAAACGGTAAAATATTCCTAATTTTTCCACACGTTTGAACTGATTACTTAGATGTAAGTAAGAATTTTTTCACGTTTTAGGAATATAATGTAAGAAATTAAGCTAAATATAAGACGCCTAAACTTATGCAAGATATTTTTGCCTCATTTTTAAAATTTAAGAGGTAGCAACAGAAATTCTGGTAGAAATTTCCGCAAGAGTAAAATTTGCGAAACATTTTCCGGAAAATCCGTGTTTTTCGACTTCTCTAACGATTCCCTGACGCGAAATCGCTTGCAAAATAAAATGCCCTGACATGCCGAATTTTTGCCGATTCCCTGACACCCAAAACTTTTCCCTGACATTTCCCGGTCACCAGACACCCTGTGTTAGTAATAAAGAGTTACTTCGAGATTTTTTCCGAGAATTCAAGACAAGCTGAAACTATTTTCCGCGACGCCTAAAAATTGGCCACTTTCGTGAACGCACGTTTTCCCTGACTTCCGGGTCATTTCATTGTTTGATAATTATTTTGCTTGATCCATTAAGTGTTTTTTTCTCTTTGCAACCAGCTTAATTAAACTGGAAATTCTAAAACATTGAGCGAACGAACTTATCGACCACCGAAATAACACAAAACTGTATTAGGGTAGAAGGAAGGAAATTCTCGGTTTATGGACAGATTTTCTAAGGGATTTATTGACTTTACCAGGTATTTTTTTCACCCTGAAATAGTCCGATTTTTCCAAATCCTACAGACACCTTACTCTTCCCTAGGGGGTACTAATGAACTGGAGAGCTTCGTACTATTCACAATCAAACACGGAGGTGACAAAAGTGCGGAAAGATAAAAAAAATAAAACGTTTGTCACAAATCCAGTGGTAATTTTCTCTTGATAGAATTCAATATGAAATCCTTAATATTTGAAAAATGATGAAGAGTACAAAAGAGAGAGAAAAAATCATATTTTCGTGATTTAGCCTCACGTTTGCCCCGATCCAGCTTGCCTTTTTAAACTTTACTTGCTAGAGCAGGCATTTTCTGCATACCTTCAAGCAGGTAGGCAGAGAGTTTTAAGCTTACCCATTTCAAATTCAAAGACTCCCTTGCTTCCCCCAAATATTTCCAATGTAAAATTGATTACTTTGTCTGCCTCTTTTGGGAGAATCAGCAATTTTTCAGCTTTCACAAACCAATTCTCAACCCCAATAACCCCTCACACGGTTATTCTTCGCTTCTGTACGTTCTCTCCTCTCTTGATTATTTGTCAATTTCCATTACACAGCAATAATTTTGATCCTACATGAGACTCTAACTCGCATGAGATAGCAGTTATTTGCAGGTGCTAATGAGATGTAAGAACATAGTAATTTAAGGGAGCTAAATGTGATCTTGAATATCCACGGACCTTTCACACTTTCTGGACAATTGGGAACCGAACGAAACCTCGTTTCCACACTCGTTTCAACCTCGAGTTCCGCGATCCAACATGAGCACTAAATGAATAGGTGAGTACATGAAATTCTGATGATACTGTAAGCGGTACATACTTAAAGATTTCAAAGAAAAGTAAAATCCTTAGAGATGCTGTTCTATATTCCCCTGATTTTTTGAGAAAACATTAGGTAACGGTACGGATGATCGAAATTCTGAGGAGAGAAAACCTGTGTATTGCACTCCCTATTTCAAGATAAGTTTTCACCGCACTCTTCATTCTTATCGTAGACATAGTTACTTACTGAAGCAGGGCATCTTTCAATGGAACTTCAAGTGAAGCTAACTCACAAACAATAAAGAATTCATACAGTCTATAGGAAAATTTCTTGTCGATGTAAGAGACAGCTTTCAATGGAGTCTTCTCAGGAATTTATTCAGGAAATTATCACAATAAGATGAAAGAAATGGGAGGATAAAATGGAAGAAAAAGAGGTACCTGGGAGCATGGCTCAAAGGGTAACCTAATGCAAATGCAAGTGCCATCTTAGGAAGTTGTTTCCAGACGACTTCATGGAATCATGAAAAGATAAGATCCAAGAAGCCTGGTGATACTGTTGCAGTAGAGAGGATAAAAACGGAAAATAAAAACTAGAGATTAATTCCGACTCTCGAGTTTGCAGGACCGTGGGAAAATGTGAGTATGCTGGGCAGAAGGGTAGGTGACAGTTGGGGACGTTACGGTTCTGAGCTGGAAAATTGGTCTCACAGATGCAATGAGTGAGAAACTAGGTGAGACAGAGAATAAGCAAGAATTTTGGAAATTGAGTGGCTGTGATCTTACTTGTTTCGTAGTTCGGTTGGGCTGGATTCGTTTCTTGTACTCTGGGTTGTTGCTCAGCAGTCCCAAGACAGCTCTTTTCTGAAGAGGCACTTTAGCGCTGACGTTGCTGGTTTCTTTGAGGGGTTTGTCGAAATTTGATCGAGCGTTCTCGTCGTCCTCGTACACGCTGAATCCGAAAGTCGCCATGATTATTCACAATAAAGTTAAAATTAAATAAAATCCGACATGAAAACCTAACGTTCGCACTCGACTCAAGCCCGAAATAACCGTCAGTGAATGACCTTCCGTCAATCCGGTGGCGACTTTGCGACCAGCCAATGGGAGGTCTGGATTTTCGATTCGATACTATCGACTTTGTAAAAGTTGCCAAGTTATCTCTTATAGCAAGTTACAACACTGTATTGTTATTTAAATTTCTGTGTGATGCGGCAACATAGCTAACTATCGAATATCTGTAAACAAACGCAACTGATAACACGACACTGCCATGTGTCTTTTGAGTCACTTCAATTTTAAAAGCCTTCTAAATTGTGAATTTGGGTAATAATTGTTTGTGTTCGAGCCTGAATTAACATTAAAGCGCACTATGACTAGCACTAATAGTCAATACAAGTAAGTCATCCTAGATTTCTCTATTTTACGCTTTGAATTCTAACCTAACCTTCAAACCTGTCCGTTATCCGGTTTGAGTTTATGTTTTGAAACCTTTAACTCTCTTAATTCGTGAGTTACTTAATACAGCTTGTGCCAAATGCTTGAATTGATACAGTCAATTCCATGGAATAGTATCTTAGAGTCTTCATGTCTAAAATTTATCTCACTCCTCAGATGACATGGTCGCTCAATCATATCGTAGCACAGAGATCAGAGTCCTGACTCCCTTGCGATATCTCTTCTCCTTCTGGGCAAAGTATCATATGCTCCACTTTTCCAACTTTTCAGGACACACTAAAAACTGATTTGCGACCGCCTTAGACGTAGTTCTGGCTTGTAACTTGGAGTACCATTTGAGCACGACTTCCTGCCTAGAATTTTAGTAAAAGAACCCCGCACAATCCTTATGGAAAATGGCTGTCTCTACAATCTGATGAAACCTGGATATGTTGCTCCCCTAGTCATTCTGATCAAAAGTTCGCACGGGCCGAAAGAGATTCCATGAACGGATTTCGAGATATTCGCTGTTTAATATGCGTAAATTAAAGTTTCCCTGGCCGGACCATTGTGCGGTGCCTCTTGTGTCCTTCCCAAAGACATAAGTAAAGACGGAGCGCAAAAAGCAAAAAATGAAGCTTCTTTTCAACCACCTCTACTATTGGCTAGAGGATTGGCGGCGAAATCGGTACAAGTTTGAAATTCAAATGTAGGGCGGGAACTAAATAAAATTGCTGAAACAAAGTATTCTAGGTTGATTTTTTCCCAAATTCACTTACCCACTCATATTTTTTTAACATTAGGTTAGCTTTGGTCTGTCGTCGACCGATTAATTTCATTTGGGAGTAATGGTCATCTAGGACTGTAACGGCCTGTTTGAACCGGCAGGACCACCATAAGCAGAAGAAAAACTAACTTTATCTGAGATTACTGCCTGTTACTGAGCAAAAGTAGGTGTATTATAATAGGACGCAGTCCCAACTTTCTTAAAATATTCGTTTTCGGCATTTTAAATACGTTTCAAAGAAGAAATGTGGAAAAATCAAGAGGACAAGTTCAAATCAAATTTCCGTTTGTCGCCATGGATTCCCGCGCTCATTTACACACTCACACAAGCACCCAGCGCCAAACCAGGCTTCACTTTTTCCCCGTGCTTTTAGATACGAGCACTCCGTCTTTATGTCTTTGGTCCTTCCCTTTGTTCTAGTTCTAGTTCGAACTAGTTCCCTTGTTTTGGATGTCAAAATTATAATCCTGGTCAAATGGCAAGACCAGGTATAGTTATAATATAAAACCTGTTGAAACATACAGATACATGATCTTACATGGATTTGATGGATGCATTTTAAAAGGTTAGATTGCAGTGTCGGAAGTTACGGATCTGTATTTTAAGATTTTGCCATTTCTGTGACAGTTCTATGAGTGAGTAATAAGTAATGCTAGTGTTTGTTTTCTGTTTTAGAACAATTCACCCAGTCCGGTACTATCGAGAATACCTGGTAAAGCCCTCGTAAAGCTTTTCTTATTTTTATTTTTTTCCTTTTGAAAGGTCACTTTTTTCTGTGGCCATTTCATGATGTATAATCGTAGAAGAACAGTATGTCCTCTTTCATTGAGGAAAAATACTTTCAGATGATTCCATCTGAGTCCTCCCTCTTTGGTTTTTATCTAAATATAATTATTTTGAGTGTTTGTTAATTAATCTAATGTCTTCATTCCTTTATCTCTCCGAGAATCAGCAAATATGTATATTGACAAGTAACACAATGTACATTGATAAGGAACAAAACTGCCATGGCTGCTTCTTGTATGAATGAATTATATTTTATTTGAAAATGACTTGAGCCTTACAAAATATGTAGTAATGTCTTTGCAACTATTATTTCAGTTTTTTACAAACTTACAAAAAAAAGTCCGTGGAACCCCGGCGTAGATCAAAAATAATTTTTTTTCCTACTGTTCTAAGGCCTTCAGAAAGTTTTCGTGAATCCCTCAGTTTATACTCAGGCGGAAATTCTTCATAAGACTCTTGAAGTCTATAGTTTCCTTGCATAATGACATATTTTCTCTTCAGTAATTTTTGTTTCTTTGTTTTTTAGAGTCACAATATTAGACCAGATGGAAGAAGTTTACAGCAATTTCGTCCGATTTCAATAAATATCGGTTCTCTGAAAAATGCTGATGGGTCTGCTGTGATCAAACTGGGTAACACATCTGTTGTATGCGGTGTCAAAGCTGTAAGTTGACTATGTGTCTCATTCTCTCATTGACCATTCAAATTTAAAGTTCGTGCAGTGTTAGACACAGTGTTATGTCCTAGGTATTTTCAAAAATACAGTGTTTTTATAAATAGGTTCCTCTAGAACTTTCTGATACAGTCTGATATAACTTATGCATAAAGATTTTGAGTTAAAAAATTTTACGAGCTCTGATGGGACGAAAGCCTTGTCTCAATCCACATCAGTACATAATGCTCAGTCTTTCCTGTATCATTTATTCATATCACATAAATTTGTTGTATTTCATCCAATCTTAATTTTTTAGTACGTACGTCTATTTTGTCACCTTCCGGCCAAAGTATCATCAGTGCCATTTATGCTTAGATGCTATGTGGCTGGACATCTCTATGATGTTCAATTCTTTTTTTAAAACTTTCGCTCATACCTCCTTGAAAATTTCAGGGGTTAATCTTAATGACAAAAAAAAAAATACTAGGTAAAATTTTTCAAGTGATTACTATATTCATCAGTTTTTCTGTAAAAATTTGATGTGTTCGAGAATTTTGGCAACATAGTGCTGAAGCTCAAATGGCTTTTGTGATGCTTTGGTTGAAAAGCGATGATCTGTCATGTGTTTTGGGTTCTTAGTACAGCACTGATGCTAAAAATATTTCAATGAACCCAGAAAAGCATGTATCTCAGTCAATGATGCCCCACATTTTTCCTCTTTAAGAGTAACTGTTCAGTGTTCATCATTATTTAAGTTTTATATGAACTTTTTAGTCCAACCAAAAATATTCTGTGAAAATACGAGGCAAAAATATCAAGTGTTACTATTCTGGAAAATTAAATGTGAACGGAAATTTCATTACTTTGCCATTAAGATACTGATTTCCTGATCTCACCATTGACATACATGAAAACAAGCCAATTTTAAAAATCAAGTTCCCTGAAAAAAGAAAAATTATGAAAGGTGCATTAGCTCTAGATTCAAGTTATGATACTGTACTTTCATACTTTTTGCATCCAAGTCCTCCTCAGGAAAACTGAATATACTTCTAGTCAAATATTTTTTAATTTATGGGGCTGTGGTATGAATCTAATTTCATTTTATGTCTTTTCGACAATTTTCGTTTGCAGGAGCTTTTCACACCAAAAGCTGAAGAACCAGATGTAGGTTGTGTGGTCGTCAATGTTGAGCTACCGCCAATGTGCTCCGGCAAGGTCCGACCAGGTCCTCCAAGCGACCAGGCGCAACTCGTCTCAAGTTTCATCAATGAGTTGGTTATGAAGTCAGACATAGTCGATTTGAAGCAACTGTGTATAGTCCCAACAAAACTTGCTTGGGTACTTTTTTGTGATATAATTTGTCTTAATAATGATGGAGGACTTACTGATGCTTGTGTCACAGCTCTTGTCGGAGCTCTCAAATCAGGTAATCAGGCTCTCACTAAAAGTATTTTTAAAATAATATCCAAATTTTGCTGAATTTAACTTGTATTTAATCATGTGATCATAAATGTTGTGTGCAATGTGTTTAAAATTATCTATTTAAATTTTTAAAAGAGCTAAAAAAAGGATTTTTTTTTTTTAGAACAGCTGCAAGTTAATTATTGCATTTTGCAAGATTTATGCAGATTTAACTATGACACAATTTAAACACTTGGCTACAATTTCAATTATTGAGGGGTGAAAAAGAAATATTTGGGCAAATTCTGTGCCTGTTGGATCAGAACATTGAACATGACCCAACTTAAGTAATGCTCTCTATGCAATGAAATGGATAGCTTAGTCGTTTTACTAAGTTGAATTCCCAAAGAGGACTCAGCATTTGGAAGATTTGTTGGCCATTAGCTTCCTATTCAAAATTTCAAAACATGGATGGCCAAAGTGCAAATCATGTATCTGTGTTTGCAACGTTGCAGACTTCCTGTCGTACTTCATTTTTTCTGTGTCTACACAATTTCTTAAAAACTTCCTTGAATTTTCTATTCTGTCAGCAGAATATTCTGTATAAATTTCAAGCCATAAAGTTTTTTTTTTCTCCTCGAAAAAAGAGATTTTGATCAGAAATGTTGAAACTCAGTGATGGAGATACATGGTTCCGCACCCTGACCATCGACATATGTTTTGCTATTCCAGAGAGATTTTTGAAAGAGTGGGAATTTCTAATTGTATGCAGGCAGTGTAAAGTCTTCGATGTTATCAAGAGCTCTGTGCATTATTTCAACAGCCAAGTTTTTTGTATATTCACAGAGTGATGGACTTATATGTTGATGCTTAAAACTTTTTTCAGTGCATTTACCTGAAGCTAGTTACGAAGCAGATGTCTCTAAAACCAATATCGACATTGAAAAGAAGCATCCTCTGACAGGAATAAAAAACATTGCTGCTACCACATTCGCTATCTTTGATGAGTAAGTACTAAGCCTTTGCTAATCTTCATAGAAGTGGAAGAAACTAAGATGCTGGCCACTCCATGCCAATTGGTGCCATTTTGAAAAAGTGACTTCCTCAAAGCTTGATGAAATTCAGCATACATGGTGTACATGCAAGGCCAAGGCAAAATCCAAACTTTTAGAATTCTTCGACCTCCCGTTGGGCTTCTATGACACACTTAAAGTTTGCTTCTTTAGATTGATATCACCACTTTATTGATGTGTAACTCTGGAATGGTTTAACCAAAATCAACTGTTCTGCAGCCGGATTATTGAAACTTTAACTAACAATGTCGGCACGATAAGACAAGACATAGCCCTATCTGCGCCGTGTAATATATCGATTTTCGATTCTTGTCGTGCCGACATAAATTTCAACAATCAGGCTGCTGGAGTAATGATACTGTTATAAAGCCCTGAAAAATAGCTTTTGAGACGTCTACAACATGATTGGGCATACTCGAAAAAAATTGTTTGGTGCAAATTTTACTTTTCAAATTGCTATACCTAACTCAAAATTGGACCTTTTGTTTTCGTTGAAAATTTCGTGAGATGTTGATGGCACTATTACCTAAGAGTGAGCAAAATTTCCTACCTGGGCTTTTTGAGGCAATTCTTAAAAAGTTGAGGTAGGATATTACTATGAAATGTCCACAAATCAGGTAAAATTAAAGAATCACTCGAAGAGAACATTAAAAGTCAGGGAACCATATCTTTGATCAACATTAATTGGATGGATGCCCAAGTATTCAGTGGATCTTTATTGCCAACAATTTTACTCCCAGCATTATGATCAGGAGACTGACATGAAAGATCAGTCTCAGGAGAAGTCAGGATACTTAGCTCTTGTTTTTTGCCAGTATCTCAATGTTACTGCTCAATATGGAATTCTGCTCAACTTTTTTTGGAAAAAAGCGACCTATCTAGTGTGGCTGATGAGTGTCTGCCAGTACTGAATTCAAAATCTGAACTCACATGTATGGAGATACCTAGGTTTTAGCCCTCCTATTTTTCAAATTTATGTGGAACCCTTTTTTTCATGCACAATTTTCAAAACTAATGATGTTTTATTATATAGGCTTGTACCTTTATTTTGTTTTTCCCCTCTGCTCTTTTGTCACGAGTTGTAGCGATTTTGCGAAAATCATACTGAAGCAAACTCACCCTTTTCCTAAAGCCCTTTTCAATCTGTTCCCATTATTGCACATGACCAATCGTGACCAACCAATCGCACGATCGAGAAGTTTCTGCATCCTATACAACCCATCTGATACTGAAATCTGGTAAATCTATCACCTATTTTTAAATTACAACTCTTTCTATGTGTACGTTGGTATGTGGTTGGTACATACATGGTGCGTTTTCAAGTAAATACTCTCATTTTCAAAGTCATCACATTTCTTATATGTTTGTTTCAGTGAAATTCTTTTAGCTGATCCAAATGATGAAGAAGAGGAAATAAGTTCCGGTATACTCACGATTGTCACTGATAGCCAACAGCTTTTCTCAGTCCATAAACCAGGTACAGATTTGTTCTTTTTTTTAAATTTCTCCCCTTTTTCCTGCAGCAAGATGTTCCTTTTGCCTTAGTTTCTTGTAATCATAACTCTACAAGGTAATTTAAAAGTCCCACACCACTAGCACCAGGTTCCACCTCTGTAACTTTTGATAAAATTTAGGTAGAGACTGGAAATTTTAGGAAGACCTTCCTGAAAGAGGTCAAAACCCCTTGGGTTTATAAGGGTGGTTCAGTCCTTTTTGACTACCCTGTATTTTAATTAATCACACTGTGATATTCCATGTATACACAATACTTTTCAGGAGCTCATCCCGAAGAGTTGCCATTTTACCCGAGCATAACTACACAGCAGGTCGATGATTGAAATTGACAGTCAAAGCCATAGACAAAGAAGACAAAAGGGGTACAGAGGGATCCTATTTGTAGAAGCGGGTGATTGCAATGGACAATGGAGGTAGATAATAGACTAACTAACGGCTACCCACGAGAGACCCTATAGTTCATCTATCATTTTCTCTCTTAGTCTTCAGGAACCATTCAGTTCAACCAACAGGATTGCTCCATACTCTCTATGTCTTCTTTGTTCACTATTTTCAATAATTGGCTGGATATAATTAGAAGAAAGAACCTGGAACTTTCTTCTAACAATAAGCTCTGTCTCGTTTTGAAAAAAAATTGAATAATGCAACCAACTCTTTCCAAATGAAGTCTTATCATGACAAGTCAAAAAGTGCTGAAATATTGCCTCTCAGTAAATCGGTGTGATATATCTCCTAGATAAGTTCTCAGGAAATTGAAATTCAACGGCATTCCAAAGCTAAGAAATGTATCTCTCTCTGAAAAATATTAACTGCGAGCTGATTGTTGAAATTGGTAGACAAAGCGATAGACAAAGAAGACAAAAGGGGTATGAAGGCATCCTGTCGGTGGAAGCTGGTGGTTGAAATGGACAAAGGAGGTAGGTAATGGATTAACTAAGGGCAACCCATGAGAGACCCTTTCTTTAGTCCATCATTTACCTCCTTGGTCTGTTACAACCACTCATTTTAACCAATAGGATCACTCCATAGCCTCGATGTCTTCTTTGTCTATTACTTTGTCTATCAATCCCAAAAATCAGCCTGCTGGATACATGTGTTCATCTTGGAGGCCAAATGCAAGTGAATCTGGTTAGCTGTGAGCGTGTAGTGCATCAAGGAACCACTGAACACGGTGTGGATTTAAGCTCTCGGATACCTGCTTCCTCATCAAAATTTTGTAGAGATCACGATTCGCACAGCAAAAAGAACTGAAATTAACTTCTAACATAGGTATTTCACGCTTTTTGATGCGTGAATTCAAACTTCCTGCTCATGAAAAACCGAAGTCAAAAATATAATTTATACAGTTTTTCTACATTTTCACGTGCCCATCAGGATGCACTTTCTGCACCCCTGGAGTTATTCTCACTTCATCATTCTTGCCTAAACTATTACTCCTGAGTCACTTTAAACACTTGCAAAACAACTTCTAGACTGCGGGCTGATTATTGAAATTGATAGTCAAAGCCATAGACAAAGAAGACAAAATGGATATGGAGGGATCCTATAGGTGGAGGCGGATGGTTGCAATGGACAAAGGACGTAGGCAATAAACTAACTAACAGCAACCCACGAGGGACCCGATAGTTAGTCCATCATTTACCCTCTTAGTCTATAAGAACCACCCATTTCAACCAATAGGATCGCTCTATACTCCTTATGTCTCCTTTGTCTACACATTTCAATAACCGGCCAGCTCCTGTATTTGACACTATTTTTCACAGCTTTGTCCTTTCTTTAGGTGGCTGTCCTCTGTCTGACGAAATTACACAGAAGTGCCTGAAAAAGTCCAAAGACCGCGCTGTCCAAATAAATGAACTGATTTCAAGTTGCGAAAAGAAAGCTGAGTAAGAAAACGTCCAGACTGTAAAATGTTCAATGTAAATATGCATGTCATGTGTGTAAATTAATTTTTATGGTAATTTTGTAAAAAATATAAAGAAATAAAAAAAAAAAAAAAACTTGTTCTCCTCTTTTTTAACCCTACCAATATAGCCTTTAAATAACTGGAAAATGAGAATGGGGCTGTGGCACAGTTTTATCTCAATTCACTTATGGAAATATAAACTCCGGATCACAACTTGGCGGCAAAAATAGCTCTTTTTGTTCATGAAAAACATTCTTTCTGTTTTTGTATATTTCTTTTAAAGCCTAAAGGAATCTTTGTGATCTATGTGAGTATCACGGCCATTTCATTTTTTTTGACACGAGTGGACTGGATTCAAATTTCTGCAAGGAGGATTAGGTTCAAATTTTTGACAAACTGCCAACCTTCATCACAGCAAAATAAAATTCCCTCTCAGCGACAGTAGGCCTACAACATTTGGTTTTCATGTTGGCAGCAATGACAGGCACATCCAAAATTCTTGACCCACCCCATGGGTGCAAAACGGTGGCCGTAGGTCATCAAACCGCAGATTTTAGTTCTTGACCTCTGGAGGGTATTGTTCTTTGTCAGTTGGCAATTCGGTGAAAGGCTTGAAATTAACCTGATCCAGTCGTGGGAATTTGCCGATGGAGGAAAGATGGCAAAATTTCAGCAAGCTCCCCATTTTGAACTTACAAAAAAAGTAGAAACTATCTGAAAAAATAGAAATTTTTTGTAAAAATTCATTTAAGTATCTGTTTGATTACAGACTTTGTACAGTGAAAAACGAGGGAGTGAAACAATATCACAAAAACTATAACTTTTAAAAATTCAGTCATTTATTTAATAAATATTTAATTTTTTTTTCATTTTTTTCCAATTTTTTTAAACGATTTTAACTAAAAAAATATAATTAAAGTAAGACAATAGAAAATCAGTAATTTGAAAATACAGTTTATACAAAAGTCGATAAGAGTCGACCCTACACAAAACAAATTAAATCAGAGGATACACATAAATATCAGATATTTTACTCGATAATAGATTACAGTATACAATCAAGATAATTCTGACTGAGGAAGATAGAGAGAGAATTAAGTAAAGCCTAATCACTTGAGGGGTTGCCTAAATTTGCGAAAAATTTAACCAAAATTTCTGAAATTTTGGAATTTGTAAAGTTTGCAACTTGTCGCAAAAATTGGCAATTTCGACGTTACCTTTCTTCGCCTGTTCATGCACTCACTTCCAACTGGTTTCAAAATCTTTACAAATGTACATGCTTTCGCTAACCATATATTACATCAGGTACTTCAACAAAAAACTTAACAAATTAATCTTGAGAGACATGAAAGAGATGAGGGTCAGCATATGGATCCCACTTTTTTGACCCAAAAATTTGGCGGCCAAGCCTCACAGATGTATCAACGAAAATTTCAAGTTTCAGTACTTGGGGCTACAATCTCGCCGATAGAAAAAATGTTCTCCCCTGTTCAATAATCGGATTTCTATAAGCTTCATACAACATTCAGTTGAAATGTATGAGAAATAATAAGACATCAAGCTCAAAATTTAAGTGACCAGCTCATTCATATTATCAGTTTCAGAAACCATGCCAGTGCAAAATCAAATTGGTTACAATCAAAAAAAGGTAAGATTGCCGAACACTAAATGCGAATGATTTTCACATTTCCTTTCGGCATGTAGATTGTCTGTTGAAATTGATGAATTTGATGATAGGGATGCTAAATTACAATGGCATGACATGAGTATTAATGCAAATCAATCTTTCGGACTTACTGAAAGGAAACCTGAAAACTGAGATTCATCTCATGAAACCTGAAATAATCACTCTTTCTGTGACCAGTCTCGATACTTAGAAAAGGCCGATAAAACAAAAACTCTGATCCATGTCGATATTTAATATTTTAACTTTTGCTTTGATGCACAAATGCGTTGCACGATTACTCAGTGCAAGGTCTCATTATTGATGATGTTAATAGAGGAGGAGAGAATAAAAATATTTATGAAGTTGGAAAAGTTGATTCGACTGAGGAGTTTTCCCTCGAAACCCTGAATAGAGACTCATGAAAATATCGTAGAAACAAAATAAAAAAATTTGGGAAACTGTAAAAAATTAGGGGGAGGATTTGATAAAATTTCAAAGCCCCACTAAAATTTGAAAAAATCGCCTGAATAGGTGTGATTCAAGGGAGAAACTTTGATCAGAAATTTGATTCAGAATTCATACCTACATTGATACACACAAATTTCAAGAAAATCACCTCTTCCTTTTGTCATTTTAAACATTTTCAAATCATCACTATGCCTTCAACATTGTGTTGTTATATTTTATTGGGGTTTTTTTCTTTCTTCTTCTATTATCTTCCATGTAATAGGACATTGATTCTATTTTCTCTGTCATGCACCAATTTTCCGTTGAAAAACTCATTTTGCCCGAAAATTCGTTGATGAAGGCGACAAACCAAGGTTTTTGGAGTCAGAGCTAAAAAAGAATTATGGTTCCCCTGTCAAATGCTCAGTGTTTTTTAAACATCTGCGTTATTGAAAATCTGATGAGGATACTTTAAGACAATGATACAATTCTTTGAGGAGATCCTTGCAACGACTTCCTTTTTTAATTAAATTACAAAATAAAAGCTAAGTAAGATGGCTCTTTGAACTTTAGACAAATCAAAAGCTGAATAAATTAACAAGGATGGTGAAAGGTAAAAAAAAAGCTTAATCCCGTCGAATGGTTTCACAATTTATGGTTCATAATTTTTTGAAAACAAAAATTGACCATTGTTCACACAAACTTTTTTGAGTTACTCTAGCAATTTTTATATGAAAATTGCATTTTCATTTTTTACTCTAGTACAAATTTTTGGCTTTGTTTTCTCCGCAAAATGGTGTGGGCCCAGCACTAGTTTACCACCTTTTTACAAACAGTTTGGATCACGTTTCTTAGTGTTTTTTTCTTGCCCGCGAGCAAATAAGGATTAGATTTTCTTCACAAAATAAAATTTGAAAAGAAAGTTACAGTGTTGCAAAGTGAGATACACGTTTTTCAGCTTTCACCATCATTGATAAAAAGAAGGATGAGATGACACGAATAATGTCTAGCTGCTATTGTTCTGACGAAAGTCGAGCTTCAATAATTACATTATCAGTGATCAATTTTTTGATTCAGTACAAAATATTAGTAAGCACTGTAAAAATCGTTCAAGTAATTGAAAAGTTCATAGACAATCTTTGTGTTACAATATTTTATCACACAATCTTCCTCAAAATTTCACAACATTGCACGATACGAAAATTGGAAAAAATCACATTTAAAACCAGACAGTGGCCATTATTATTAAGATTGATTATGTACGTTTTTTCAACGTTTGCATTTGATCTATTGAGCAGTGCAAGACTTGAGAAGTTTGGTTTCAAACTTTCTAATATAAGAAAGGTGTTCTGGGTAAAATTTTGAGGAGAGATGCCTCAAAGGAGTCGGTGTTTATAGCCTGCGATAAGTGAATACAAATAAGTCTGGAGAAGAAAATGGGTGAAAAAAGAATAAATTGTTTGCTGATAAAAATAAAAATTGGAAGAAAGATCAAAAGCTAGGAGATAGTTGAATCTGTGAGAACGAAAACACATCAACTCGAAAAAATGAAAATAATTAAGACACACACGAAACTGCACAGTAGGTGAAGAAGTTAGTTTAAAAAAAAGATTTTTTCTACCGGAAGACAAGTACTTATGGCCACTTTAAAGGTCCAAGTTGGCACAGACGCGCTAACTTCAATGACCTTTATGTAAATTAACTGTCTTTAATGAAAATTGAGTATTTTCGAGTTACCGAGTTGGTGTGTTTTCGTTCTCACTGATTCAATTGGTTGTAGAGAGAGATGGCTTGGCAAAAATATACACAAAAATGTTAAAAATTGCTCCCAAATTTCACTGGACAAAATTGAGGACATTCTCTCGTTCAATTTTATCTCAAATCAAAGAATGGGGTCATTCTGCGGAGCTGAAAATAATAAATAAGTTCGGGCATGTTGCAAGTTAAGCGGTTTCATCACTTTATCAAGTCAGATAATATCAACGTTGAAAACTTACTGTTTGATTGGTTCTGATTATTTCTCTGTATTTTGGTTGACTTAGTTAAAATGATCGTTTCGGAACCTAATCCTCCATTCTAGACCAATTGCTATGACTGCAAATAGGCCAAAAATAAAACACAAAGTAAAACTACGAACTCAAATTGCGAGAAAAATTACTGAAATCCCTATCATTCGACTTGAAGCTTTTATCTATAGTGTTTTCAGGATTTTTTTAGTTGTTGCTAACTTACACTATGTTTCATGAAGTTGAATGAACGTTTTACCTCTCGTTTTGTGTTTTGATTTTATCATTTTTCTTGCATTTTTGACAAGATTTTACGCATGTTGGCGTAAATCGACCAGACGATGAACTTTGTAAATTTGAAATGATCATATTTAGTTTAAACCTCTAATTCTTAATTGCATCAGGACCGATTAAGGAAGCAAATTAGCACCTGTTAAAAAACTATGATAAAGCGACAAATCACCTCAACTTTTTTCAGTTCTTTGATTAAAAAGATTTGAAATCAAATTTTGAGGAAAAAGAAAGTTTTGTTTAAAATAATCTGAGTACACCTCCAAAAATATCAGAAATCAAAATACACTCAACAAATTCCTCAATTTGTCTGAAAAAGGGTATCTATAGAAATTTGAAATTCTAATGAATTCACTCAGGATAGACGATGAAAATGAGTGACTACCTCAGACACACACTCAAAGCTGATTGAGTGTAGAGGTTCACATTTTAAACTCCATCTCTCAAGCCAACTTGATCTGAAATTAATCTCGCTCAAGGTGAAGAGCACATCTAAATGAATTTTTTTCTATTTGATGCTGAACTTTTAAAAATTACTTATGACCAACACTGTAGACCAGGGGGGGGGGTTGTTGATGTATTCTCTCTTGCCTCTTTTGATGGCCCACCGGCCACTATTCTACATGGCAAGGGCCACCGAAAACGTTAACTTTCGACCGCATATGAAACTTTGTCTTGAAGAGGCGGAATCAAATTTGACTACATTTAGAGCATAGCTCCAACAGGAGACCAATTCTGTAACACATGATAAGGTATTTCTGATGTGGAACCCGAAGTGTAGTGCCAGCCTCCGTAGAAAACTTTGCCTAATTTACAATGCATCTCATGAGAGAACACGTATAATAATACACTAAACAGCAACACAACATTGTCTCAACAGCCTTCAGATTTACCATATCACTACTGGATGATAGTAGCTACAATTTAAGTACAATGCAACCACAAAAGAACGAAAGTCAAAACAAAATGACTGCCAGTGGATGAAAAAATAAGACTAATCACAATTCTTTACGCAGATTAGAAAAATAACAAATGAAAGCGGACAAAATCAAGAGTTTTGTCTGCTGATCTAAATAACACAAATCGTTTGAAATAACAATTCAATCGAAAGCAACAAGGTTTAAAAAGATTTGAGGACTTCAGAATGATTTCCTCTGGAACCTTTATTTAGCCAAGATAGAGTTTCATCGCGTTTATACAGGACTACCGATTGATTGTTGCATCGTTATTGATTAACCTATGCTATGTATCGATCAAGGTCATTCGATAATGATTCAACAATCGACCTGCTAGTGAGTCCATACCTTCAGCTTTGAGTTCGGATGAGTCATGTTTAAAAAGTCTGCATCTATTTTAACAAAATTAAGACTGATAAGGTGACAGTGCAATCATGCTGAGGAGGATTGTGGTCTGAGCATTGATAAATAGCCAAATTTTTTCTGATGGGACGATGAAAAAAAAAAAAAAAAAAAAAAAAAAAAAAAAATTCTGAGTGCCTCTCAAAGTAATTTCAAAGAATATGATTCAAAATTTAATCTAGTGTACCTTAAAATTTTCAAAAAACTATTCACAAGCTTTTTCATTCTCAGATGCTTTGATAGGAGAAATTTAGCAACATCTGAAATTCGATAAGGCATTATTCTTCTTCTTATTTGACAACCAAAAGAGAAAACATGTATGATTTGCTCAAAGAACGTCTCCAAAATGTGAAGCGACTCGATTAGGTACAGACACACTAGCGATCCGCAGAGGAGCTTTAAACTGAGATAAAAAAAAAAAAAACTGATTTAAATAGTCGATGAAGGGTTTTGAGAAAGAAGAAACTTTTAAATGATCTGAAGATACATATTTAAGATTATGTATAAAACCACTTGACTTATTCTGAAAGGTTCTTTTGATAAGAGACACAACAGATTTCGACCACAACAAAAGAGGAAACTATTCATTATTCGTAAGTGTCCTGTATGTGAACATTACCCTCAACTATCCTTAAAATCAGACCTAATCTTTTATTTTTCTTTTTTTGTGCTGCTAAGGGTCACAAAGAGAAGGCAACTTTCATTTCTTCAAGATAGATTTTTATCACACTCCTTGGACTTGGGGGAAATCCTTAAAAATTGAACTTCTGGATCTGTGTCTTGATTGGCATCTAGACAGACGGTCACACTTCTAGAGTAGTTAGGGAGAATCCCATGTAATGAGAGAAAGGAATCGTTTGAAAAAGATTTAACCTACAAGATATTGATAAAAAATTACAAACGAAATTAACTCACCTTCAAAGGCTATTGAAAAACACTCAACAGGTGCTTAGGTAGTAATCTATGGGTTAGTTATTAGATTCAATAATTTATTAGTAGCTTGGCTAATAATTTATGAAATTAAGTAGGAGTTATTTTTCCTTAAAACAAAAATGATTCACTTGAAATAAGTTGATCGCTTCACAGTACATAAATTATTCAAATGCTACTTATGTTTTGCCTCTAATGCAGGGAAAATTTAAGAGGTTCTTAAAATTCCTGGAGTGAAAAAATAGATTACACTCATTTCAAGCAAACACTTTTCAAAAATAAAAGCAGTATACTCGAGAGAAATATTTCAAATAAAAGATGCATCCCTCAAAAGAATAATTAAACCCCTTATTAACAAGATTGTAAACTTTTTTGTGACCATTATTCTAACATTCCTCAGATAAGAACAACGGTACAAAGAAAACTCTGCCTCATAACCTTTGGGTGGGGTAAGTTACACAAGCCGCGGAGGTTGATTTAAAGAACTGAATTTCATAGAATAGCAAAAATAATATGATCTGTCTAAGCACCAAATGCGTCTAAACTTGGCGCAGATATAATCCTTGGAAAAACAAGCGGTATGTAATCATCTACTGATCGGCGCACACCATAGTTCTTTCCACCTTGACCTCATCAATCAATTCAGAATGAGTCATACTTGTTGCTAGACATGAATTGTTCATTGGCTGAAGAGAAAAACTGCAGGCGTGTAGTAACATAATGTTATCCACCCAGTTTTTGAAAGGGCGATTTTTCCATCAATATTTGATGTTAAAACAAGTCGTATTATTTTTTCTCATCTAGAGAAATTCACCATCAAACTACAATTGTTTCACACATGCTGTCATCTTCTACAACAAGGAGCGTATTTTGTCTGTACTGTTCCAGTACTTCGATGGAAATTTTCTTCCCTTTTTTTCTCAAAGAATCTTCGCAAAAAACTGTCTTAAAAAGAAAAATCACAAGAAATTTTAGGCAAATTCATGCAACGGATCTCATTTGAAAAAATAAAATGTCCCAAGAAAAAAACTAAAACAGCCTAATCGGGATACGTTCTTTCATGCTGAAGACAACAGTGTAACTGGCTAATTCCTTCAAAATGACCCCAAGGGCTTCCCTCAGTTGCCCAAATAAGGAAAAACTACAAAAACTATCTCCAGTAGCTAAATGAGTGGTTATCTACTGGAATAGATCTTGAAGAAATGAAGGCCTAAAAATCCTTCACCGTGTGAACTTTTAGCAGGCTTTTCTCCGGAAAGACTATTTTCTTTCTCTTCTAGATTTCATCTAGAGCAAGTATTATAAATGCAAACGTATTTGTAGTGGAATAAAGCCGAGTGAGCATTTTAGTGTAGGAACTAAGCACTAGCAAAAATATTTTGAAATCACAGTAATTTATCTTCTATTCAAAAGAAAATAATGAAGAATCATTTAAAATAAAATAAAATAAATAAATAAATAAAAAAATATAAATTAAGTGCCGCAGATGGGCACAAGATAGCAAGAGCATTGAGAGAAGTCCCAATCTCTGTAGCACCCAGGTGTGACTCGAATTGCTTATCTGACTTTATACAGGGTAATCCAGAACTTCCATGCCACCAACACCAAGCATCAGCCATGTCACATTTGAACAAATTGAGATGTAGACTTGAAATTTTGGGGGCGCCCCTAAGTCAAAGGAAATGATTTAAGGGAACGTCTGAAATTTTGAAGGAGCCACCATGAGAAAGGGTAAGAACCCTAGGGGCTACAGGGGTGGTGAGGGATTTTCGGATTACCCTGTATGTTTTGGTTCTTTCTTAGAGAATGCTATGCATTAAATGTAAAAGGGGATTTGGACATTGCGTCTAGCGAAGTGAAGAGTGTTACGTCTAACAGAACAACCCATGTGATCTGTCTTGTCTTGTCTGTAAAAGTAATGGAGGAAATTTTTGTCTGTTGAGTTTCGGTACACAGCTCAGATTGTGTACTATTATTACACTGCTCATTATAACACCTGGCTCGACGTCTGAATGCCCTTAAGTTGCACAGAGGTATGTAGTAGGTCTGAACATGCATTTGTTCAACTTGCATTACAGACCTCTAATTTCAAATTTTAGTCTTTGGATTTTTATTTCATTGTTGTGAATTTCTCTTGGCACACAGAGTGCTAAAGAAGTCAATGATGAATTAAAAAGACTATACCTAACGATGGCATCCATTCAAGAGGTCACTTCATAACAATTATTTAGGAGAGTGAAATAGAAACAATACTGCCTGACTGCCGATTTTGGGCTGAAGTTAGTTAGCAACTTTGCCGTATTTTATTACATAAAATACACAAGCTGATGTTTTTGGTTTTTTTTCAATTCTGCATACTGGATGGAAACGCTGTGATGATGCTATAGTGTATAAAAAGATTGCACATCTAACCTTGAAACTACAAAATTGGCGATCGTCCTGCAAAATCATCAGTTTGCAAACAAACAGTATTGGTCCTTAACCTTAGCCATCAATTATTTTCTCATTGACACATTTACAGATAATCAACGAGAACAGAGTATTGCCAAATTTTCCTCCACATTCGATTTAAATGGAATAAATGAAAGAAAATGATGGCATTTGACTGTACCAAAACAGAAATTGTCTCCTTTCAATCCGTCACACAAAACCATGCTACAGAGCTCGGGAGACTCCATCGATAAAATTATTACTATATTCCGCAGTCGTTAAATCTTCGCGAATACATATTTTTCTAAGATCTCACTTGAAAAGCTATGACTTTCAAAATGGCAGGTTTATGTAGCTACGCATACCTACTTAGGGGCTCACTGTAAAACATTCTTCAGCAACATGACGTTCATATCCATTGAGAACTTTCAAGAATGAAGCAGTCATCAAAGTTAGATTGGTCTGAAAAGTGGTTTATTTAAAATAGTCTTTCCCCCCCTGCCCCCCTCGAAATTTTCTTGAAAATTCAAATTTGTAGGGTTTCCCTAGTTTCTTCATTTTCCGATTCTCTGACATTCTTTGACTTTTTTGCTTTTTCCTGGCTCCAAAATTGCCAAATCTCCTGACTTTCCCTGATATTGAACTGCCACTTGGGTTCTCTCCCTTTTAATCATGCTGACTTTCGCTGAATTATAGATGAAATCTCTACTTCCAGATACTAATATTATGTATAAAGGCACTCGGAAGTTGCTTGCACCCTCTCGAATGGCACTGGCAGTAGTTGCTGAGCCAATGAGCTATTCACGAAATTCCCTAACTTTTTCTGTGAATTCCCTGACTTTCCCAGGTCGCTATATTTGCTGACTTTCCCAGACTTTCCAGGTTTTCCATATTGCCAGAAATACTGTAAGTGGATAGAATTAAATGCCAAAAGTCATTGCCCCAAAATTTTAGACACGAAAAAATTTCGCAAAAGGTTAAAGTTGAGAAAAGACGAATACAAACGATTCTAAACTGATTGAAGATTTTTAGACTCCGAGTAGACTGAATGACTTGAAATAAAAATCCTCTCTTAATGAAATATCGAATGTTTTTTAAAATCTTCATTTATAGATATTAGATTACGGATTTTCGACATGAGTCTCGTACTCTTACGCAAAAATAAGTTAGGGCAAGAATAGATATTTGGTGCAGTTTTGAGACTTTACAATCCTGATGAACTGAAGCGTTTTTACCGCGAGCCTCTTTGTAGACTACACATTACAAGTAAAATTCCACAAAGGAACAGATGATTCATAAGTATTCTTTAGTTTAAGAATAAACAAAACTGATCCAAGAGAGAAGTCACAGAAGACCGTAAGCACAAGAAAATACTCATTCCTTTAAAATTAAAAATTAAAAGACGATTATTAAAAAAATAAAACAAGGTTCATTCTATTGCTTGCGATTGGTTGATCGCAGATGATTCATTGAACCGCACGAGCGGCAGTGGACTAAAATTGGTACTAATTAAAAGGAGCGAAAGAAGAATAGGAATTGATTAAAATAACTACTAAAATTAAATTAGATCCTAGATGCGATTTCCTAAAAATTTCAAGATCCTAAAGAGAGAATTGTTGACAATTAGTTTTCAGAGCGCGTGTTTCGGTTACTGTGTTGGGCAGCTTGCTTTTGTTGCAAAGCCAGTTGAATCTGCTGATGCGTAGATAACTGATGTTGATTGATTACTGCAAAAAACAAAACAATCACTCAATTCAAGAGCAGAGAACACCGTGAAATAAACGCTAGTATTTTCTCCAAATTTTATCTCAAGGGAAGGCAGTTCTAGCGATGCTTCGGAGGTGTTTATTCAAGAGGGGGGGAGGGGGAGTGAGAGTTTTGCCACACATTGTGTAAAAAGCCAAGTTAAACAAAGGCTTAATTTTTTAGCAGGAAATAATTTTCAAACCAGATTTTGTTTGATCACCGAAGAACCACTAGACAGGGTAAGAAATGAATTATCACGATATATTATTGCCCTCCTGCGGGCTGATTATTGAAAGTGATGGACAAAGTTGTAGACAAAGAAGACATGGAGAGTATAGAGCGATCCTATTGGTTGAAATGGGTGGTTCCTGTAGACTAAGGGAGAAAATAATAAACTAACTATAGGGTCTCTCGTTGGTTGCCGCTTGTTAGTCTATAACCTACTTCCTTTGTCCATTGCAACCACCCGCTTCCACCAATAGAATCCCTCTGTATCCCTTTTGTCTTCTTTGTCTATAACTTTGTCAATCAATTTCAATAATCAGTCCGCTGGACATAACTACATTTGTTGATGAACCCTGTCATCCATATAACTCCATGTTTAGAGTAGTAATACCCTTTTGTCAGCCGAGCGAAGATACGTTGTTTCATTGTTTTGACGAGGAAGCCTGTCTTGAAGTGTTTAAATGAAATGAGGTGCATTTCCGCACATTATTCACAAGGAAGCTGGAGCCTTGGTTTGCGCTCCCAAAGCAATATAAGGGGAGTCAAAATTGCACTTTGTCATGTAGTTGATAAATTGCATTAATTTAATTGATTTAAAGAGCTAATTAAATGGAAATGGAAAGTTAGTTGATTAAAGTGGAAAATTGTGCTTGCTACACAAAACAGAGCTGAGTGAGCATGAAATATCTTACCTGCATTAGCAGCTGCTACTTTGAATCTCTGATTGTTGATGACCCGTTGCTGCTGAATAGTGTGTTGTTTATTTGCAGTCGTTAAATTCGTTTTTTGAAGAGTACCAAGAAGTTGCAAAGACCCTGCATTATTTTGTATCTGGAGAAAATACAAATTTGATTTAAAGTAAGTGCAAGTACTTTATACCTAGGATTCTTTTTATCGATGGTTAAGACATTATGCTTTCAATTGTTAAAAGAAAAGAGGAAAATTATTTCAAATCTAGGGACGGCAAGAGCCATATTTCTACTCTAATGTGGGCGATCCAGATTTTTAGGGACATAAAATACCTGATTATGATTACACAATCTGCGAGTCACAGGCAGAACTAGGGGTTTATTTGCAGTTGTTAAATTCGTTTTTTGAAATGTACCTAGAAGTTGCAAAGACTCTGCATTACTTTGTAACTGGAGAAAATACAGGTTTTGATTTAAAGTAAGAGCAAATACTTCATACCTAGGATTCTTTTTATCGATGGTTAAGACATGATGCTTTCAATTGTAAAAAAAAAAGGAAAATTATTTCAAATCTTCAGACGGCAAGAGCAACATTTCCTCCCTAATATGAGCGATTCTTATTTTTAGGGACATAAAATACCTGATTATGATATCTGGTGGAAGGAGGGTACAGGGGCCGTCGCAAAAAGACACTAAACTGAGGGGGATCTATGGGATTCCCTCAATTACAAAAGAGGGTTCAATGTATTTCTCTAGTTTCAAAGGAAGNGGGGGGGGGGGGGGGGGGGGGATCCGGACCTCCTCAGGAAAATTTGAAAAAATTGAGTCATTTTAAGAGCTATTTCCACCAAAAATTGATCCGATTTTAAAGATGAGGGATATGTCTTGCACTAACTTATTGTTAGCAAAATCCCTCACATTTCTTGAAAGGAGCCGGATAGGTTTCTGAAGGCAGGGGAACAAGCCCCTTCCTTAGTTCCACTCATGCTGAGAGTTCTTTCAAATGATAAAAAGATTCTTCCAAGAAACTGAGACATTCCAACAAAAAGAAAAAAACAAAAGTTGATTTTTTCACAGCCAGTCCTCAGAGGTTGATGTTGGACCAAATTCTTAAAAATTCTTTCAAACAGTGATGAGAGATGAGATAAAGTTAGGTGATAAGAAAACTTGAGATGGAGTTATTTAAGAACTTACCACATTAATATTCCCTGCTTGAACAGACCTAACATTTTGAGTTTTACTCGACCCTGATAATAATTGAGCTGAAAAATAAAGGAAGATCACATGAATAGATATAAAATCATGAACACATACCACCTGCAAATCATGGACTCGACAACAAGATGTTTATCAGCAAACTGATGAAAGCTTTTTTTAAAAACTTTGATGCTACTTATCTTCTTTCAAAAAAACTTAAAAGACCTTCCAAAGATTTTCTTAAAAAAAATTTACCTTCCACTTTCAGTAACTGAATGACTAAATTATTTTAGATATAGAATCGCGGTGAGCATTTAAGGCAAATAGGCATAAGGCAATCATAATTAATTGTTAAGAGGGACTTCAACAATTAGTTATGTACTGCGAAAGAAAGCTGTGAGCCACTTAAAAGAATGAGACTTCATCAAGGAACCCGCATGAATTTCTAAAAAAGTATGACTCACTAGCAATATAAAATTTTAAACTGGGCAAAAACTGAATAGCAGGTAAAATGCATTCATCCCTTTCAAATTGCACAATGCGCAAGAGTTATTATTAGAAATACATTTTTTTTCAATTTATTGATGCAACTTATGGCCTGAAATATATTTTGGATTTGATAAAATTTTAGGAATGATACCAGACGCAGAATTCACAGAGAGAATTAAATCTTACTCACAATTAGAGGAATTAGTGAAAATCATAGCTGCAGGATTAGCCGCACTCACAACTGACGGAAGCTGTGAACAAGAAAAAGAAAAATATTTGAGTAATGTGTGGATCAGGTAAAAAAAATTCAAAAGGCTAACATTCCTGGCATTCAAAATTGTTCATGAAACTAGAATGGCTCAATATAAATTGCTAATGAACTAGATGGACTTTTGTTACAGCAGAAACAAAATCCAAAGATCAGCAACTTGGGTATATACTTAAGAACCATAGAAATGATAATTTTATGTTATAAATAAACCTTCTCCATGGCCTGGCATTACAAGTTTACAACAAAGCACTATATCATTTTTTTAATATTGCATTTTGCGCTGATTTTATTGTGAAATGGCCCCCACAGGAGGTTAATTCCATACCTGGCATGTTGGTAAACCCCCAAAACTGACCAAGATGGAAAAAATTACACTGTTACACAGAAATGAGTCAACCTGAAGGTAAGGCTCCCGGTGAAGGAGTAATTTATGGGCCATAGATCTCAATTGGCTATGCTGCTCTCAAATGGGATTCTTGAACGACCTAGAAAAAAAAGCGCTTGTGCTGTGACTCCTAATTGAATGATCCCCAATTGCAATTTTGGTCACAGAAGCCATTGCATTACTTTTGTTGGATCGAAATAGTGTTAAGAATCCATAACATCGTGTAGAGGAGGAATTCTTGAGCGCTATGATTATCATTATGTTTGGGATTTTACCATTCTTCCATAGCATGAGGTTACGAACTTGTTACAAGCGGTAATACAGTCATTGATGTTGTTTATGAAATTATGAGATAAAAATCCTTTGTGGCATAATATTACAAATTCTTAGAAACTAAAATGAATTCAAGGTTCAACTTTAATTCATCACATAATCAACATCTACTTGACTCAAGTGTTGAATCTCAGTTGACAGAATCGCTGCCTCAGTATCAACCTGGCGTCACAGAAAAATCAAGTAGTAAAATAATGTGTGAAGCCAGAAGGGAAATTCTCTAATTATCAGGATCATTGGCTCACTCTTTTATTGCCAGAGATTGCTTGTGGCTCATGTTCAGTAGCTTTCTTTGCGCTCAAATGTCAACTCTTAGTCGACAAAATCGTTTAGAACTCATGTCAGATAAGTTGTCAGTTGTTTACTTTCTGTTAGTAAGCGACTGCGCTGCTGCCGTCCACTAGCGATCAAGGATTGACTGAGTGTGACAGCAATTCTGTGATGCCATTACTGAACCAGATACTAATACATTCCTCTGAAGGGAAATTCCTGGATTTGTCTACTGCATGTGACAGTCAGAAGTTAACAAATGCCAACGTACCAATGAAAGTTCTAACTGAGTGCACTCGAGTGTTCATAAATGCTCCTACGGGAAGGAACAGCCCGGAAATTAGAGTGAGTGCAATGCGAGCAAGTTTGGATTTAAAAAGGAAAAATTGTAAAATTGATTACTGCACAGAGAGTTTTATGAATACAAAATAAAAGAACTTACAGTTGAGACTGCCTGAGAGGCATTGATATGAGGTGACACATTTAGAGATACAGTTATTGGTACAGATATTCCACCTATTGATACCTGAAATAGAGAGAAGCTAGGTGTTAAAATTAAAACTAAAATTGTAAAATAAAAGAGTACTTAACACTACGTCAGCTTTACTTATGCCTTGTAAAGTCAATACAGAACACAAGTCAGCCTTTTGATTAAAAAAGATAAATTAACCTGCAGGAATCTACTATTGAAGGTTTCCCACATGTTTCTGTATCAGCTACCGGTAACGTAATTCATTTAACCTACGGACTGTTATAGTCGAAAATTCACCACAATGGGTCACTAAACCTTGTGTTTTTCATTTACGATTCTGAGAGTGCCAGGTAAGTAGATTACGTTGTGATTTATTGGGTATTTTTGCAACCATAATCTTGGACATGCCCCCTTTTAAAAAGCTCAAAGACTCAACGGAATTTCAAAAGTATCATAACAGCACAAAAATGATGGCAGTGAAGTACTGTGGCAGTCAAATCGATATCTCCTCTCATTTTTCACTCATGTTTGATAAAATAAAGCATGTTTCAATGTGAAATTATTACATGTTTACGACAGATAACATGAATGAGATTCAATTTCTAAATTCTGAGGGTATTAATTTCTTTCTACTTTCCTATTGCTTTCGTACACGAGGAGGAGAAAGACGTTTGATGGAAGTCATAGAAACCTGTGCTCGCTTTTGATTGATGCCGGATGACATCATTTGTTTGGCGCGAGACCAGGGCATTTTAAATGTGCGGAGAGGTTGCGATTTGTGAACTGAGTATTTCTCAGTTTCTGGGTTACTTTTTACCGTTTTTAATCTGCACATTGTATTCTACGCGTCATTTACCTTAGGAAAAATGTATTTGCACGTCAAAATTCGTTCAAGGAGTGACCCATTCTAATTAGGTTGAAGAAAGAAATCTTACCTGTACATTTTGAAGGCCAGGAATGGTGCTCATAGCATCCTGCAGCGAAGCTATACTAAGATTCATTAAATTACTGTTAGAACTAGGTGGAGAAGGGGCAGTGGGTTTAGGTTTAGGACTGAGCGATGGATACGATGGAGGCGTGGAAAGTCTTTCTAGCAGAGAGTTATTTGTATTGCTTACATTAATTTGACTATCTCCTGCTGGTGCGCCTGGAAACCAACAAAAATTAAGATGTTAGAGATAAAACAAATGGAACTGTGGGAGTGGAATTAGACTTATTAATGTCCGAAATTTCAGGAATGAAGGACACAAAAATCATTGCTTTTTTGATACTAAGTTGATTTTCAATATAATCAGTGTATGCAAACTTGTTTTCCTTGCAATAAAAATTTTTAAGTGGAGGTAAGTGACATGCAATGTGTGGTGATCTCTAACACCACACAAGAAATACAGAGTTCCAAATATTGTGGACTCCATTGCAGGCAAACCAGTAGCCATGCCATTTTCTCTCGTTATCATGAATTGGCAAAATTGTGGTAAAAATTCTTTGGCAGTTTACTGTGGAAATGTCTGCCCTGTAAAATAGAAGAATTACCCACAAATGTTTGTATCAAAGATCTCCAGTAAAAAATGAACTTATTAGTATTTGAGTCACAACCTTTGGTTCCTTATCAAGCTTGTGCATACTTGTCAATGTACTCTTGGTGAATTTAAGTGTGAGAAATATTATACAAACGAATTCATGAGTGTAAAAAGAATGTGAACATATGTAGAAGCCTGGCAAATGAAAAAAATAACAAGTATATGCTAACACATCTTTTCCCACATCAATGAAATTCCACACAATCGCCAAATTCATTTCTCTCATCACCTCAAAAAGGTATGTCACTTAAGGGTAGAGACCCCATTTTCTCGTGATTTATAATGACCCACATTCTGGCTAAATTCCCAGAATTCTCGCTGAAAACAGCCAAATTCTTGGTTAAATTTAACGGCATTTTTCGCATTCTTGCTGAAAACCCTAAAATTCTCGCTACTCTACATAACTGCCAAATTCTTGAGGTGATTTTGGGGCAAACTTGAAAAACGTGTTTGGCAGTGCCAGTGGTTTACTGCAAAATGAAGCACAGATCTAGGATTGGTCGACAAACGGTGCAAATTACGTCGAAATTTGCAAATTCGTAGTGTAAAATGGCGAATGGGCCTGTTGCATGCAAGAGATACAGCCGCGCGAATAGACTTTTTAGAGGTTAAATGACACGAAAATTACGATGGTCACATTAAAAAAATCTGAAATACACTCCTTACTGCGCAATTTGCGTTGTGAGGAACGCGCTTTTTCAAATTTCCCGCGTCTGGGGGCAGTTTTCTAACGGAAACAATTAACGGCAACTCGCGGCTATTTCCGGTCAATTAAAACTGGCAACATAGTGAAATGAAATGTAGAGGGATTGCGTTGGATATTTAAAAGTTGATCGATTTGGTTACCGCATAAAGCGTATATCGACCACTATAAGAGATCACGTTGGGTTTGTAAACAAACTGAAGGAAAAAATAACAACAACTACGACTCGGCATCTTCCGGAAATCACCGAGCCCGCCGTTTGCTCGTTTCCGGTGATTAGAAAACTGCCCCCAGACGCGGGATATTTGAAAAAGCGCGTTCCTCACAACGCAAATTGCGCAATAAGGAGTGTATTTCAGACTTTTTTAATGTGACCATCGTAATTTTCGTGTCATTTAACCTCTAAAAAGTCTATTCGCGCGGCTGTATCTCTTGCATGCAACAGGCCCATTCACGCCAAACGCCGAGATTTTCGATTACATATTCGAAATCAACGGAACTTCATGATGCTTCCAAGCTTGGTCCAAGTTCTTAGAGACGACTTTTTGAAAGTCCGCGAACAAATTTCTGGGGTCTCTACTTTAGGATTCCGAACACATGATTTTTCAAGAGCTATGTTGTTATGAGGACATAAGAATCTAAAAACAGGCTTTGTTGGATTACTCACCAGCCAGCAAAGCCTTCAGCCCAGGCATGGACAGCCCAATACTTGATGTAGAAGCACTAGGATTAGAGGAGGAACTTTGTTGACTATTCACAGACGTCACAGAGACCCGCCTGATAGTGCCAACATTGACACTACCGGGTGGTAAACTAAGGTTTGTTTGCACGCTGCCCACTGACTGAACTCCAGAAATCCCCTGAATGCTGCCTTGAATGGTTCCAGTCGAGATCGCTTGGAGAGATGGCGCAGGAGTCAACGTTCCTGCTAACGTCTGAATACTCCCGGATCCAAGACCCGAAATCGTCTGGATACTAGTTGGAAGAGATTGCACATTATTTCCTGCATACGCGATAAATTGTGTGTTGTTATTACTCATACCGTCTATTGAATTCAAACTGTTAATACTAATATTACTAATATCGTTATTCAGATGCTGCGCGGATATGATCCTTGTTTTTTGCAAAGGTTGACTCATTGACTGGTTTAGCGGTTGATTGAGATTGGCTAGTGATGCCAGAGACACGCGAACTGGGGTGTTGGAACTGCTCGATATGGCCTGTGTGACTGCAGAGCTCGAATTGAGGAGGTTTGTAAGAGTCATCTTGCCGGCAACAACTTGAGGGTTGAACTGCGAGGTTTTAACGATATGCCCTGTGTTTTTGAGCAGATTGTTCAGGGTTGGATTGGCAACGCTGGGACTTGTGGATGCAGGTGTTGAATTGAGGAGAGATAAAATTGCCGAGTGATTATTGTGGTTGGTGCCCGATGTGACAACGGTCTGCTGCTGTTGCCCTGCGTTGTTTTGAATCAAGTTTTGAACATTGATTGTTTGAGCATTGGCTGAAGAGGCACTTGCGTTTGCCTGGGCAGCTGCGGCCGCGGCTTGAGCAGCTGCTGCAGCCGCTGCTGAAATGCAAATTGAATTGAAGTTAGCATCTCTTCACACAATTTTTTTGATCAAGGTAAAAAAGATCTTGCGGAGGTACTTAGCAAAACACCCAGACAAAAAGAATCTCAATAAAAATGTATCAGTCTATCGCAAAAGAAGCCTTAGTGAAAGGGAATGTGAATTGAGGAGTAGGCGCTAATGTGTAAAGGAATATTGTGAGATTATGTTAGCAAAGAGAATGCCCGAGAATGTTTAACTAAATCATACTATATTGTGGACCCATTTGAAGATTGCAGTTCAAGGAACATAGTTTTGAGAAATAGCTGTGCAAAGTTTATATCTTTGATGTTTATACCCAAAATCATGGAATTAGAATGCAAATTAACACCTTCTGTTACCACAATAATGATCTATAACACTCATAACTTTCTCTTGGGAATACAAGAAAAAGTTTGCTAGCAAAAATAAAAAGTCTCATATTTTGATCTGACTGCACTAAAAGTGCTCTCTTAAAGTCTGCTTCTGATTTTTGCCCTGCAAAGTATTCTGTTTCTCATTACGATTCCTGACAAACCATCTTGGTTGTGCCAATAACGATTTTTCTCTTTGTGAATATAAAACGGTTTTTCAAGAGAATTGTGTAGTGAAATTAAAATAAAAATTATAATGAAAATATTTGGTGATATTTTTGACGTTTTCAAGACTTTGCTTACCTTCTTCTTGGAACTGCTGTGCGGAATTCATTAAGCTAAGAGCTAATGCGTTGATTGCCCGATTTGTTGTGAACATGACAGGGGATTTGACAGGCTGTAAACAGGAGTAATTGAAAACGACATCGAAAGATTAGTGCGTGAGAATGAAAACAATGATGAAGTTCAGTCAAAATAGCTTGTCAATAATGTAATGCCAATGAGGGAACTTAGCATATAAGGCAACCTTTAGGCACACTTTTTTGGCTCTTAAAGGAACGCTTCTTCTTCAGACAGATAGGAAATAGAAAAAATAGAGAGATCAACTCCAACTACTATCTTTCACAAGTATACAGCGTTAAAAAAATTATTTTTTAGAACAATTTCAAATTCTTTCTTCGACAGGATAAACCTCTCACTTGGACATGGGATTTACAATTCATAAATGCTACAAAATTCAACAAGAGAAAACAAGGTGGTGGGGGAGGGGGGGACCTTATTGAATTTACAAAACTTTCTGACTAACCCCAAAATAGCCAAGGCAAGATTAGCCCGATGAGGAATTTCTGTTCCAAACATTCTCTCTCCCTTAACAGAAAAGTTAGTTGATGAAAGGTCACTGATGTTTCCACTATTATAAGCTTGATCTATCAGTCATGTGTATACTGTGAAAAAGTGATAAAAATGGGAAAGTCTAATTTTCACAAGAAAAATCCTAAATCCAGAAAAAAAAACCCCCCCTAATTTGGTCAAATATACAGACCGTGAAGGTTCTCAGTGGAGTCGATAGTTTACATAAAATTTTGGAGTAATGGCAGTGCATTATGAGAAAATATCATGAGATGTTTACCTGCGAGGAGTTGGAGGAGGATGATGGAGACGACGCAATATCTCCGTTGCTAGACGATATCACCTGACTGGTTGGTGATGGTAACATCTGACCTGGCGATGCTGCTAGCGGAGAGTTGGGGTTCTGAGAATTTCCATTAACGGAGGAGATGCGCTTGCCGACCGACGACACTGGCTTTTGCGCCACATGCTTGATAGGCTGCGCAGTCGTGGCATATTGGAGCGTGCCAGTTGGAAGCTGGCTTGGAGATGGTAGATTGTTGATGATTGGCTGGTGGTGAGACGACGAGGGCGAGTGGAGTTGTAGGGAGTTGAGTTGCTGCACCTGGATTTGCGAGGGTTGAGCGGTGAGTTGGATCTGAGACTGAGGCTGTGCCTGCAGCTGCATTGGGGCGACCTGCCCTTGAAGCTGCACCTGAAATTATGCAATAAATATTAACTATTTTATCCTCGGATATCGTTTTTCATCCCTGATAGAGCTCTATTCAAGTCTAAAAGCACAAGACACAATGGACCATTCAACAAGGTACAAAGTTAAGCATTCTGAAACATGTTTCTTAACCAAAATTTTATGTAGAACACGATTTGTGCAACAAAAATTACTGATTTCAACTCTAAACCAAGATCTTTGATGTTTCTTGACGCATGAATTAAAACCTCCCAATCAAGGAAACTCAATGGTCTACGTGAGTCTAAGCGCACTCAACATTACCATGACAGTCTCTGCGATATCAAAATCTGACAATCTCAATCTTGACACGTTGGCTCAGCTACAGCAAGTTGTGTATAGTTTGAACAAAACAGGGTGGGGAATGAACATGGCTTGATTGAAAAGCCTGCTGAAACCGTTGTAGTACGTGATCGGATTCACATGGATAAGTGCGTTTCTTGTGACAGGACAATTCGAATTTTCTGTAACCAATGTAAAATAGAAACATTCATATCTTACTTCAGAGTTGATTTTAGTAATTTTCTATGCAAGATTGTGTTCTACGTGAAATTCTGCATAAGAAACATGTATCAGAATGCTTAACTTGGTACCTTGTCTTGTGGTCCATTTACACAGTCATATTAATGAGAACAAGCCAGACACTATTAGAAAATTATTCAAAACATGCGTAAAGTAAATGAATTTGATTCTCCAAAACAATAAGAAAATTCACCTTGAGTTGAACGAAAATATCTTCGTTTTCTACTGAGAGATTCTAACCCTCAGGAGTTTTTTCATTGGTGAAAAGTATTTTAATATAGTATTGATAAGGCACTCCTGAATAAGGCTCATTGCTTTTAGGAAAAATACAGTGACCTTTTTTTTTCTTTTTTTCTTTTTTCTTATTACTTCACAAGGGCTAATCCTGCGCTTTAGTCCCGTCCCTAACAACCAGTCCCAGGCAACCATTGTTTGAGATCATCAAACTCAGGTCGCCTGGCCGGGAATCGAACTCAGGACCTCCCTATCATAGAGCTAGGGCTACAACCACTACACCATAGGAGGCCGACATTCATGAGCATGATTATCATGATTTACAAAGCGAGATATGCAAGTTTTTTTATACTTGCAATTCATTTTTGCAATCATTTTATATTTTTTCTCTTCAAGTATCTTGACATTTGCTGTTCTCAATGGCTATTGTTGTTTTTAGAGCTGGCAAAAATGAGCAGATACGATATCAATCAGTTTTATGGGCCAAGCATCTCATCACATGGAAAAACTGGGCAACAATGCTTTGACTCAGAACTTATTAAGTTTCGGAGCGAGGCCTTAGTGGAGTGGATCACTATTTTGGAACAAGCTGCACCAATTGCTTACAGATAGGAATTCGTTTGAAAACCTCAGAGTCAACTCATTTTCGAGTTCTGACTACTTATTGCTAGCACACAAGGAGCACAAAACATACCTGTTGCGAGATCTGTTGTTGTTGCAGCTGCTGTTGCTGAAATTGCTGCTGCTGCTGGAGCTGCTTTTGAATCTGTCGGTTGAGGTTCTGCTGCTTCAACTGGAGTTGCTGTGTGACCAGTTGTTTTAGCTGCGCCTGCTGGAGCTGCTGTTGCTGCTGCTGCTGAGCGTCTAGTGGCTGGGACAGCGACTGCGGTGACAGCTGCTGCACCAACTGCTGGATTTGCTCCCGCTGTGATACCGACGGCATTTTAGTCTTCAGCTGCTGTAGCTGCTGCTGTTGTTGTTGCTGCTGTTGTTGTTGTTGTTGTTGCTGCTGCTGTTGTTGCAGCTGCGCTTGCTGTAATTGTTGCTTCTGTTGCTGTTGCGACTGTTGTTGCAGCAACTGTTAAAGAGAAGCAAATAGTGAGGAAATAAATCAGCCAAAATTAATATTAATGACTAGCTAAGTAAATAAATGGGTAAGAAGGCTTTTTTGAGGGAATTTAACATTGTTTAAAGGGCAGCACTCATATTCATGTAAAGACATTTGCAGGATGGAGAACAAAGAGATCTGAGCCTCCGGACGAATTCTTCTGGTTAGGATGAAAGGAAGGTTTCAGGTCAAGGTAAGTGAAACGGAGAGGGCTTTCCCACTACAGACCATTCAAAATGTACAAAACTGGCACTGGGGGTCAGACGGTAGACCAATTAGAATCCAATCAGCATTTTGTTTCAAACTTCCTGCCAAGACTGAAACAATGCCAACGCAACTGAGCATTTTGTCAATTTTGAGTGCTTGAGTAGAGGAAGAGCATACCTTTGTTTACTTACCTTCGGATCAATCGAAAAAGGGTGTCACAGCCATGTAAGGCTACTGAAATTTTGTGGTTAATAAAAGGAACTTCCCTAATTGATGCCTCCAATTAGGCTGAAATCCTCCTGGACTCTTTTGATGATTTCATCACATCCCCGTATTTTAACACTGTTGCTGAAGCCCATTAACAGAAAAGGGAGGGGGCGTAAAATGAAATCATTTGAAGAGTTCATAGAAAAAATTTCAGCCTAATCGTAGGTAACAGCTCAGTAAGTTGTGATATCAAGAAAATTAACATTAAAAGATTTTAAAGAATTTAACACTAAGGGGATATAATTAAAGGACTGAAACTTCAACATCCGATAAGGATAGAAGGGCTATTAATTTTTTTTCCATTCCAACTTGTCCACTCTAAGAAATTAAAAAAATTTGCCTGAATCAAGCACTGTCTCAAGATATCTTATTATATCGATATATTAAAAATAATGGAGTGAAATTTAACTGTTGTCCAGCCTAACAGACTGCAACAGCACTTTGTAGATTTTTCATGGAATGAAATTTTGAATTTCCAAATTATGTGGATAATTTTTGAACAATGCTGCTTCAAAGTCAAAGCAATCTGTCCAGTTACCTGAATTAATGCCTGTTGCTGTTGTTGTTGAGCAGCAATTTTGGCATCACGTTCCCGCATCGCAGCAGTGCAGGTGACCCTTGCAGGATGACCGGGAACGATGTGACTAATTCTAAAACATTCTTTACCGTCTTGCGTGGTAACTTCTGTGAATTGCTGGATTAACCGATTAACTTGTGCTCTCGAACTTAAACTAAACCTAAAAAGAGAAAAAGAAAGGGAAAAATTAATTATTGAGCTTTAGATGTAGCTGTGAAGAACATGTATCAAGAGTTACTATACTTTAGATAAAGGAGTTAAAAACATAAGGTTAACTGTGCAAAATTTGTGTCATTTCAGCAGATCCAAATTTGACTTAAGAAATCATTACTTGTAGGAAAAAGGACACTGAATAATTTTTATTACATATGCAAAAGAGCCGCATTTTTATATTCTTCTTCTACTTATATTTTTTGGCAGGAATCTAACCTACACATTTCAGAGAACTGTTTGAGCCCAGAATGGGTGGGACCCAAAATTCTAAGTTAAAACCACCCTAAATTATTAGAGGAGACTTAAGGCCTCTCTCGATTCATGCAAGCAAAAACTTTCCTTTTTCTACATTTCACTTTCATGAAATCTTTGACAGTCCCAATCCCATGTTACAATAAATAGCAAGTCTTACCCCAAAAACTTGAACTTAAAGCAACTGCAAGAGCCTCGTAGATGTAAAAATGCCAAAGACTTTATTTTCAAATTGTTGACGAGAGACTTATTTAAAAGATTGCACTTTATTTGATAAAGCATCGGGAGGAAAGACTCACTTGCAAAAGGAACCATGACTCCTGCCGCCTTCTGACTCTTTGTTGAAGTATAACTTGCCGATAAACTCTCCATTAGAGAGTCGTTGATAAATTGATATTTTTATGTAATACTGTCCACCGACTTTGACTGGATCGTGGCCAGTTTCTAGAACATGTTCTTCGACTAACATGGGCGAGCAGTCGTTCGTTTCAAGTGGTCGCTCGTGTAGCTTCGCCAAGCGCATGATCTCCGCAACAGCTTGCTCGCATGTAAGAGCTTCACCCTGCGGGGTCGGCTCAGTCTCCTGGAAATAATGCGTTCAAAATATTGAAGAAAAACGTGGAAGTTGTGGAAAGGTTACAAAAAAATTAACTTAATTCTAAGCCATGAAGAGAGGAAAAATTACTACCAAAAGAAGGTTAAATAATAATCGTAGTGCTACAATTATACATTTTTCTTGCAATGGCGTAGCCACCGCCGATCTGAGGCTGCGCCCTTTCAAATCAGAAATTTTGAGCGGCGCACCCGCCCCCATTCCTCTGCCCTTCTAGTCATTCAGATCTGAATGAATGGGAGAAAATCAAGGTATCGCTATGAGAATAGAAAGAAAAGTGAAGAAGAAATTCAAGTCCCAAAAAAGTATGAAAAAATGTGAAACTTACATGAAATGTTCGCATGAACAAAATTTGTTTCTGCCTCTCTCTCTCTCTCTCTCCCTCTCTTCCTTCTTTCTTTTCTTTCTTTTCTTTCTTTTCCTTCTTCTTTTTCCCGTTTAGTCCCCCCAAAATTTTGCCCCCCCCCCCCCCCCCCCCCCCCCCGCCTGGCGGTGACGGTAGGTATGGTAGTTACGCCACTGTTCTCTTGAGAGAGCTAATATGAACTTTTAATGTGCAACTTTCATTAATTTATAAAAATGACAATGGGTTGGGGGCAAAGGATTTGTGTGGGGTTGTGGTATATTTCACCGATGTAAAATTTTGTGAAAACTAAAAAACGTATTAAAAAATTTAAAAAATTATTCCTGAGGGGAGAAAAAGCTAATCGGAATACGACCAATCAAAAGCTGACAGTAGAATTAACGTAGCACGGAAAAGTTAGACATAAGTTCAGTCAATCGACCAACAAAAGCTGTTTTCCCCGCCTGGCTACATCAATAGTGCCTCCTAAAAATATCTTTTCAGACAGGCTCCATTTTTGGCATTATCAGAAGGGGGTTCTTGGCTATTTAGGGTTTAAAAAAATCTAAAAAAATTCCTAGGAGCTTCACTTACTCCGTACTATCAGAACATGAGTTAAAAAAGTGGGTGCCATTGAGCTTTTAAAAATATGAAATATTTATACTTTGCAAACATGCCCTTGCTGAGAGAGACATCATTTAGATCCCATTTTGCAAAAAGGAACCAAGAGCATTCCAATGTTGCGAAGATTGTGCAACTTACATTTTTGGTAATAACTAGGGCTGTGCGAGTACTCGAATTTCGAGTCGAGTCGAGCCGAGTATCGAGTACTCGACTCGGCTCGAAAGTAAGGTTAGGTTCGAGCGAGTACTCGAACTCGGCTCGAGTGTCAACAACACGAGTTTTTTCGAGTATTTCGAGTTTTTTAGAGCCGGAAACGCCGAAAGAATCCAAATTCCAAATATTTCAATCATAATTAAACTATTGTTAGTTTTGCCATCATTTTACGATTGAATAACATCAGAGTCTCGTCGGCAAATTTCTACCATCCGCAGCGCCAACACGCTACCGCCCGGCGATTTCCTGCCGCCCGCGGATTGTAACTACACGGAGTCATATGAGCGCATTTATGCGCGCCACAAAATTTGGCGACCGCCGCTTGGAATTGAACTTCTCGAGCACGTGTTTTGAACCTTTTGCGCTCCAGAAAAACGGTGTCGCGGCGGCAGAAAAAAGGTGCCGCGGCGACAAAAATATGGATCGCGCGATTCCAAAAAACGTCGCGGCGACAACTGCCGCCGGCGACACGGCGACACGAATCGCGTGCATAAAATGGGCTTTGTCATATGAGCGCATTTATGCGCGCGACAAATTTCAACCTGCGGCAGCGACCGCCGCTTGGAAAACTGAAAGTGAGCACGTGTTTTGGACCTTTGGCGCTCCAGAAAAACGGTGTCGCGGCGGCAGAAAAAAGGTGCTGCGGCCACAAAAATATGGACCGCGCGATTCCAAAAAACGTCGCGGCGACACGGCGACACGAATCACGGGCATAAATGGGCTCTTACTGCCGAACATTTTGTAATTTTAGTTTAAATCCTTTCTAGTGTGTCATCGTCAATAATTTTTAAAATCATATTATGAGTCTTGTTTGGAATTATTTGTTGTAGAAAATATATTAAATCACGTTTTAAAACTCGAAATTACTCGAACTCGACTCGAGCTCGACTCGGCTTGAGGGTCATTTTCAAAGCTCGAAAAAGCTCGAACTCGGCTCGACTTAGTGAAAAAATACTCGAACTCGGCTCGAATCCAAAAAACCAGGCTTGCACAGCCCTAGTAATAACATGATTGAACTGAACTTGATACAAAACTAAAACTTAAAAAGGTAATTTTTGTCTTGAATTAATAGTTCAATGGGAATAAAGATAAAACTTGTTTATATGATCAGTTTATACTTGCAAAGTAAAAATAGTTGCACAATCTTAGCGCCACTAGAATGCTCTTGGTTCCCTTTGGCAAAATGCAATCCATTTATTCCTCTGGAATTTCATTAAAGGTATGTCATAGTACTGACAAGATTAGGAATCCTGTTCTGTCAGAAGCACTTTGACTAGTAAGTTATCTTTAAAAGTGATAGCTGCTGAAAACCAAGGTAATCCATAGATACAAAACTGATGAAATAAAAGGTGAAAATGTAGGTTGATTTGAAATAATAAATGCGGGAGTTCACGAAGTAAAAGAAAATAGTCATACACTTTTCAATTGTCAGAGATGCCTGTCCTCTATTTCATGGGGGAATTCCAGATTCGCCTTGAAAAATCTTCCAAATTTTTTGAACCCTCCCAGGAGTGGTGGTTTCTGTGTGCTCACTGATTGCCACCCACATTCAATTTTAAGCTTTGGTAATGCATCAAAAAACGTTCTTTTTCATACTCAAACACAGAATTACATTTGAGTGGCCATCAGTGAGTACACAAAAACTACAAGCACTCGCTAATGAAAGTCCAAAGAGGAAAACTAAGTGTGCAAGTCTCGACACATCGTGAGACAACTCAAACTTTTTTGAGCTAATAATGAGGACTTGGCGTCATTCGATAGAAAATGAGTTGTCTTTTCCGATGCAACGAAGATCAACTCACTAGCTGCCTTAATTCAAAAGTTACAACAAAAGTCTTGGTCCTTTTGAGACAGCCTTTGTTCAAGACAGAAGACTCACCTTCTTGGGTTTCTTGGCACTCCTATCAAGAGACGGTTTCCGTTTATGCGATGCGATAAAATCAGCTAATTTATCAACGGTCTCTGGTCGTTTGGTGAGCTGGTCTAATTTCCTCTTCCTGTTGATGGCTGTTTGAGAGTATTTCTTAGCTCGCTGTCTTAAACTAGGCGTGTTGAGCACATGTTTACTGTTATGAAGGTTATGACGCATTAGCCCAACAGCAGGGGAGGGGTCAAGGCAGAGGGGTCCAGTCTTGGCTAAGATTAGAGCACCTTCAAGGGCTAGTTTGTCCTCCAAGCTCCATTCGATCTCCTCATCCGCAAAAGATGATACTATAGCATCTACATCATTGAGGATACTCTGTAGAAAATAAAAAGCGATAAAATAAAATTAAATTAGAGGCAAAACAGGAAGGAATGCGAAATACAGAGAGATAACAGAATTATTTTCAATACAAGGAGTTTAATTTTACAATGGACCACAAGGCAAGGTACGAATGTAAGAAATCTGATACATGCTTCTTAACCAGAATTTCATGTAGAACACGATTCGCACAACAAAAATTACTGAAACCAACTCCTAACGAAGATATTAACCTTTTTATTTCACATTGGTTACGCGGATTCTGAACTGCCCCAGTGCCCGCTCACAAGAAACTCGAAGCTCTACGTGAGTCAAATCGCGCATTACAACGGTTTCAACAAGCCTCTCAATCCAGCAATGTTCATTTCCCACCATGTGTTGTTCAAACTATAAGAAATTTGCTATAGCTGAGCCGAAGCGTCAAGATTGAGGTTGCCAGATTTTTATATCGCAAGAGACTGTCATGATAACGTTTAACGCGCGATGTGAATCACGCAGAGCATTGAGTTTTCATGAGCGGGTGGTTGAATTCACACACCAAGAATCAATAAATATCTTCGTAAGGAATTGATATCGGTAATTTTTGTTGTGCAAACCGTTTTCTGCGTGAAATTTTGGTTGTTAAACATGAATCAGAATGCTGAAATTCGTACCTTGTCTAGTGGTCCATTATATATTTTTTACTTATAAGTTTCCTACTATATTTACCATGTTTTGTCACATGGTTAGGTAGCATGAAGGAAAAGTCGCTATAGAAACTTTCTTCGATAATTGCAGCCAATGGTAATGAATTTTGTCCTGATACAACGTTCTATAGAATAGGTGCATTCGACGAGTCTTCGATATTTTTTTCCAGTAGTCAAGATCCACGTTATGAACACCATAAAAATTTGCTGCCAGCACCACTGCAATATCCAAAGAGGATTCTGTATTTAAGTTGTGAGAAATCTTGACAGTGCTGCAAAACAATTTCTACTTGCTGAGGCATGTTGCTTTATAGCGACATAGGTGGAAAAAGACATACAACTCAGGATTCTGCTGGGGTTTTAAGCAACAAGCTCTTTAGCAAATTTTCACACCCTGGTAGAAAATAAAAATATAGATATTGTGGGAGTGGTAGTGGTCACCGAGTATTAACTATCAATTCAAACATTAATCTGGCCCGAAGTCCGAACTGCGTTTTCTGCCCAAGAGAAGTGATTGATGACGCTCGACACACGTTCTTTGATTGTGACAGATTTTTAAGAACTAGACTTGAACTTGAGGCTGATCTGGACGAAGAATTTTGTGTTGAAAACTTCCAGCAAATAATCTTGAAAAACTTGTCAACTTGGACTAGAATTAAAAGGTATGTAAAAGACATTCTTACGGTTAAGACTTTAGTGATTAACACCTTGGACCCTTCTTAATGGTTCCCCGGTTACTTTCTTATCTTTAGTTCTTTAATTCTTTGATCTTTTTACCTTTTGTCGTTTCCAACTTGTTTGGAATTTAGGAGTGAGTGCTGATGTTATGCATTATTGCCCTTCCGGTACTTCCTTCTGTAATCTTTTATTCTTTAATGTTATTTTATCCCTATATTTATATGTAAAGCCATTTATTTGGTATCTAAAACTTTGTCTTAGTTGATAAGCATTTAGTTTAATGAAGAAACTTTGAAACAAAAAAAAAAACTATCAATTCGTACATCGAATGAACGCAGACGAACCTGATTGGAAGGCTTGAGCAGAACATGGTGAATATCACAGAGAACGAGTTGCGAGTGCTGCGCAGTTGGGTGGTACTGACGGTAGTCACGGACTTCCGCGATGATGCAGCCACTGTAATAGAGGCGTGGTTGAGCGTGATCCAAAAGATCAGCGAGGAATGGAGGCAGCTCCTCGTTGTCGATGTACGAAAGGAGCTCATCATTGGAATACGGCCACCGTACCGTTTCGTTTTGCGTTTCCTCGTCACCCTCTTGCATCTTGATCTGAAGGGAGTAACCCTTAGTGCCTGGGTAGAGGTTCACCACCAAGGTGTTCAGCTTCTCCCGTTGGATCAGCTTCTCCAGTAGATGGGAACACGGCCGCAAATTCTGAAAAAACTTTTGTTATTCATACAAGAGAACTCTTTAACGGCAGCTACTTCATTTAATTGTTTAGTATTTTATAGAATATAGAATTACTCATACTTTATTCTCTTCCTTATTTATAATTCAAAATACACCTTTAGGTAGATTAAAATTTGAAAAAAATGAGATGGTTAAGTTAATTAAGTTGGGATGAAATGATCTAAGTTGAACTTTTATTAGGCTTTGTCCACAAGAGTACAGTTCAAGGAACTTTTGAATGAATTAGTTCAACGATCTGGGGCTTTGTAGAGTAAGTTATAGTTATGGCTGAGTTTTAATGAGTTTCCGGAACAATGTTGCTCCAAGTTCCACGAATCGTGCTTTTGTGGACAAAGCCTTTTCCTTTCGTTATTTACCTGGTCATCAAGCAGGCAAACAGATGATTCTACACAAGAGCAATAGTAAGACTTGATTTAAAACTTTAATCCAATGAAATGAAGAGTGGCTATCCTGATACAAGGAATACATCTGAGGGCTCAATTAGGAATATTTCTCAGACAACTCCATGGTAAATTTATCATTTTAGAGGCATTATATTAATAAAGGATTTCTTAGAGTATTTTTGTGTACATATCAAGGGAAATTAATAAGATCCTTTTTCATTCCTACCAACACTCTTATAGAAGTAACTTTTTTGGAATAGATGATGCAACAGTCCTAGAGGTAATCATACTCAGATAAATATTCAGTTGGTTCATCAGGACATCAAGCAATACTCAGTTTTTTGAAATCCTGACTTTCACCTCAACAAGTCATGGATTTTTTTTGGATGAAATGGACTGCATTAAGCAGACTATAATAATAAGATTCATTGACATCAATGGGTTCGAGACATTTTATGTAGAAGACACTAGTAAAGTGGCCTGCACCCATACAAGATGGAAGTAAATACATGTTTAAGAGGAATTAAGTTTTAAAGGCTGAGCAGTGCAGGGCAGGAAAAAAAAATGATTAGTTCAAAGTCTTAGTATGATCCTTCAGATTAAAACGGTTTGAACAAAGAAAATAAATAAATAAATCGATAGAATGCAATAGAAAATTATGGAGCCATGAAAAAGAGAGGAATTGAATGAAAAGACCATACCTCCAGGGGCTGCTGTAGAGTTCTGGTGGATTCTTCGACATAGAGCTCCCTTAATTTGTCGAAAATGTTAAAGAAAGCTGGTTTCCCATTCTGTTGATGGGCCTGCCAGGAACTCTCAATACTTGGAGCCTCTTTCTCAGCAGCGCGGAGTAGATCCTGAAAAATTTAGAGTTGAGGCGTTACGAACATTTCTCATTGGGAGAAGCTGCTGTGATGCAGCCTTACGTCAGCTCCAGCTCGGAGTTAGCTAAAAATTCCTGCCTCTTTATTTTCATTCTATTTTCATTTAACTCTTTGATACAGATTAGCTGATAAATGAGCCGTGCGATACACATTATACTTAAAACCCTGGACTCAACTCAGGGCTCTGACCCTTACTAAAGACATTATGAATGATCGAATTCATCAATATTGAAAAATGCTGCCATCAGTGAAAGGGGCTTAAGACTGAAGAAAAATTATGCAAAATTTGCGTTTTTGAAAGGCACTTTTAGCCCATGTGGCACGTACTGGAAAATTGTAAACTGAAGTACGTAATTTATTTTTTTCTTGGAGATTTTCACCATGATTTTGGCACTCAGTATGTTGTTATGTCTGGTCCAGTAAGAACGTTTTGGCATGATGTCTACTTACTTGTTGGCTCTTATATTTAGCTATCTCACAGTCTCTAGCCTAGTAAGAACTTGTAGATTAAAAGAAGAAAAAACTTCCAATTCTCACCTCCGCCCCCTTAAAAGCAGCCTCCTGGCTTTGCATGATAATGATAACACTATCATGTACATTCAGCCAACAAAAAAGTATCAAGATTCATTTGGCTGAAGAGTTTCCACACTTCCAAGAATTTCTTTTCCTGAAAAGTAAAATTAGAAAAATTAAAACACAACTGATTTATCAGAAAGATGGGTAGTAAAATTTCAGGGTTGCCACAGAATCTAGAACATGAATTTCCCAGGTAAAATTTGGGTTAAAGTCCCTGATAATTGAAAATATGCCACATGGTTGAAAAGACATAATTTAAATTAGTTTTCAGGCAAAGTTTGCTATTCAAAATATCAAACCCATTCTAGAAAGCAACTAAAGGTGACTTAAAAATTTTCCCCTGACAGTTTCGTGATTCATAAATAGATTCTTTGAACCATGTTTTGTTATAAGAAACTACTATTTCTGACTGACATGAAGGCCAATGGTTTCCTTAAGAGGATATGTTCTTTTAAGCATGAATACTTGGTGCAAAATATAGTTTCATTCTGTTTGGTAATTTCCAATTGTATACTGTGACATCTGACTAAAAAGATGTCTGTCTCCAAAATATTCATAATGAGAAATATATTTTCACTCATAAATCAGAAGAGGGAACATGATAAACTTTCTCACTATGAACATATATCAACGGTGAAACTGCAAAAATGCGTATCTTAATAGCAAAGTTTCAAAAGTTCCTTTCTTACTTAAATTTTTTTCGGTAGAGTGAATCAAAATCATGGCTTGAGAGTTTCACAGAATATTCCTCACAGGGAGAATAAATATCAACAAGGTTTCCAAGGAATGGTGTTGAGTAGTTTTCTGTTTAGAAAATAAAGTAAAAAAAGGAGTCTGCTAAGCTGAAAATCAAGAAATGCATTTCTGCAATTTCAGTATTGATATACCAACATGCTCTTGATGTAAAGCATTTGCACATGCTTTGGATACCCTCTGGAGAAACAAGTAAAATAGCATGAAGCATGTAGTAAAATAGCAATGCAAAAAGAGGAAGAGGACCTTAATAGAAAGAAAGATTGATAGCACTGAGAAACTTCATACTGAATGATAGCAAGGATTGCGTAACATGTTCAGCAAGAAATTTATGCCAGCCTGGATCAGTCGAAAGAAACATGGCTTTTTGGCGCGCCTCCAAAACTGTGCGAGTATTCCTCAAGGACTTGGACACATTAATACAGAGTACCTCCACATTCCAGCATGTTTTGCACACATCCTAAATTTGAACTCGTCATCAAACTTGATTATGTTTTCAGAAGTACTTAAAATCACCTGCTTTAAATCTGATTTCCTGAAAACGGATCCTCTACCTACGATAGACAACTTAGCAGTTCCACAGTGTAGTAAAAATGAAGATTTCAATGGATAAACTTAAATCACCTGTACGGAAAACTGGAACAAAACAGTGGATGTACTTACAGTGAAATCCCAAACCCTTTTTATACAACTGAAATTCAAATTTCAGGATAGACTTGTTTCAAGGTAATAATATCAGAATTGAGAAATCTGAGCTGATGTTTGAGCGAGTTCAATCAGACATTCTAGTCGTCTAGTGATGCTTATGAATTTCCCTCTGCAAAGAAAGACTCAGATTCTTGCTTGGATTGATTTCGTTGATCATGCTTAGAATTAAGCTTCATCTCACTATTGATTTTCCAGCATGAGACTTCATTTCATTTCTGGTAGCAAAATTTGTACTGGAAATGATGGATACTGATCTGCCTAAGTCTTTGGAGGACGATATATTACACATCATTGTACAAGAAGACCGCCACAGTCAGAGATGAAGCGTAATGTTTAAGGTTTGTTAGGAGTCCATGGCTTCTTCGAGTTTTAGAACGAGGAATAACATCATCGAAATTAGTTACCAGGTCTTTGAGTGTATACTTAGAGAAACACTTGAGACCTACATGCTGTAAGGATGAACAGCACACATCTATTTTCCATAGAAATATTTTATTAAGTTCCAACTTCTTAGTCATTTTTAGATAGCACCCTGACGTGCTTTCTAAACAGACTAAACAGTATTAACTATTTTAAAGGAACCACATCAGGACCCATAAATGAAAAAATCCAAAGGAAAATAGTTGGAGCAGCAAAAGAGATTTGTATTAAAGCTAAGTGGGATGGATGAGGATAAAACTTAAAATCTCTCCTTAGCGGCCCTAAATGCAAGTCGCACAAAAAACTGATAAGGCTCAAGTTGTCCTCAGAGACAAACATGCAGAGTCACTAGTGATGAGGGTGATATTGGTTTACTGTCAGTGATAAGGGAGGGGGGTGTAATTTCAATTACCTATAAGAGAAACTTCTGCTGTGATTTGAAATCTGAGGGTAACTCAATTCAAAGGACAGTCAGTTCTCAGGGTGACAATCAGCTGAAGGAACTATCAGAATCAGGATGAAACTCACCTGCTACGTATGACGCTAAAGGGTTGTTTACAGAGAAGAAATCTGTCATTTTAATCCTACATCATGGCATTCAGAAACTGACTAGACACAAACATCAGTTCAATGTCGAATCCCCTTGACCGATAATTGATGACTAATTTCAAAGACCCAAAATGGTGGTCCTCGATTTATCATGATTGATAAAAATGTGAATGCCCTGGGCAATAAAACTGATGGATCACAACTTCAAAGAATATTGATATGATCAAATCAAATTAAAAATTAGGTTAATTTTAAGTAGGTCTTGACAAATGGAATGGACCTAACCTTCATTGAAAAACACAGCAACTGAGGTGGGCATTCACCTTTGAAATAAGACTGCTCAAGCTATTTTGAAGGATGGTAAGTTTACAGAGGCATTGCTGCAAAGACGATCCTCTACTTGAGGCAGATAGTAAGGAGCAAGAGAAGACTTAACTTACCTTTCATAGGAGCAGACAGCCATAGGACCATACCGGACTACGAGATCATTTTCGTATGTTTTGAAACATTAATCCTCGGTTATAAGGAAACACAATCGCGGATGACGGACAAGAAGAGTAGCTAAACTTTTGACGAACACGGGAGGAAATAAAACAACACATATACAAAAAGATGAATAATTTTAGCACGTGAAATAGTCGTATCAATCCATTTAGTTTACAAAACAAATCACTTACAAGTACAAGCAACCTGTACAAGATGAACAATCGTGTCCATGCGAGTAGTAAATTGTCATTATGTAGGTGCAAAAAGTCCCTGATCGTGAGAACTTCATATTGGTTAAAAGTGACTCAATCGCGTGTCCACTTTTGATAAATATGTTTTCAAAATATTTAGAACGTGACTCAAGCGTTTGAGTACAATTTTAAAGATTGGAAACAAGGTGAGAGCCAGATAAAATTTGCGAGTGCAGGGTACTCTCAGTTGCAAAGTTGGCAATAGAAGCAGCTGTTGCGATGATTACCACAAAATACCGGTCTTTTCAATAATATGTAGGGATCATACACCATGATCTGCAGCTTGCAGCATTCAAGGCGCACTTCGCCAAAAGTTGTACCATTACATGAGGAGAGGGGTTGTTGGGGGATGCAAGGAGATGCAAGAGACAAGGATATACTCACGGTCATGGACCGGGGGAGGAGGGGGTGCCCACCTGCGGCAAGTGTTAGCGAAAGGTCACTAATCTCATGAGTCAAGATTTTCCTGAGTTTCACCTGAGGGTCAACCCCCCCGCTAGGGTGTGCCTTATTTTTGAGTTTTGCGAAAATCAAGTTGGTCAACCCCTAAAAAGTTTCTATGTAGTCTCTAAATGAACCCCCTAAAAGGAAAAAATTTTAAAAAAATTTTAACCCGTGCCTCAAAGGGCCTAAAGGGCCTAAACCCAAAATTCAAAAATTTTGGCAAGCGACACATCAATTCAGAAGGAAAATGGCAAGTTACGGCCCTCCTAGGGCAGAAATTTCGTCCGTTTTGCCGTATCTTGAAGCGTAAGGTCACAAACGGCCCAATGACGACGTGAGGCTATGGGCTGGCGGGGCGCGCCGCGGCCGGCCCGCCGCTGAGCGTGCGCGCGCGGCAGGGTTGCGTATCGCCGCTTTACAACGGCGTAGAGGAACGAACGGTGGGGTGGGAGGGGGATATCCAGTGGAAAAGCATCCACATTTTCTATCCATATTGAAAATGCATTATACTTTTTCAATATAGATGAGGAAATATGAGCCATACAAGGAAGTGATGAAAAGAGTGACAAATACATATATAGTTTGTACGGTTAGGAGTGTAAGTGGGGAAAATTTGCCATAACTACAGAACAGCCCTGAAAATCTCCGGGAAATAAAAGCTGCTATTGATGAGAGGTTTGCATGAGAGGTTTAATTAAGGACTAATTAAAAAGATAGGTGCGATGTTGTCGAATCGTAAGCCCTTTACGCGATCAAAAGCGATTAGTGTAAATTTAATTGGAAAAGTTTAAGAAAAATTTGATGAAAGAAAATTGCCCCAAATTCGGGAAGTGCTTAAAGTGTTTTTCTATCATGTGAAGTGTTCGCACATGAATGTCAATGGCAGTAATTCCAATATGGAATGAAAAATGTAGAATCCCTGTGATACATAGTGTCTATGTTTCATCCACCCACCTTTTCATTAGTGCATTTAACGTGACATCAATTAGAAAGTTTAATTCGAGAGGTTCAATATGGCTTACCCACTTACATTTTCTGGTACTGAACCCCCCCCCCCCCCCCCCCGCCACAGTTACTTGCTATAATCAAAAATGTAATATTAGTTTCTCGAAAAAATATGATTTAATTTGGGGTTTGAACCCCACTCTTTATAACCGTGGGCAATGCCCTTGACCACTCGGCTACTGGGGAAGATTTGAGTAAATGAGGCTAATGTGTCATTTAGCCCCGTGGGTGAGGCCAGGCAATCAACATCAGCTGTAAGTTGGCGAAGCCAGATTGAACCGATTGAATAAAACTTTCTAATTGATGCCGCGTCAAATACACCAATGAAAAGGAGGGTAAACAAAGTCTTATTGATGTATCAAACCTTCAGTAATTTCATATGAAATGAAAAAACCTATTTTCTTCCGTTTGGCGGGACTCATTAGCGAGCGTGAATTTTTCCTGTCGAGAAACTCTCTCCTGGGCGCGAGCTTTCTTCTTGTCTGCTCTCCTCACCTCTGCTGCAAGGATAGTATCCTTCACTGTGGATATTATGCATTCTCATCCAGGTTTTCGTTGAAGAATTAAACATGCTTTATCCTCTTCATTTTCCATGATATCTAGAGTATTGCATAAAGCAATGTCGAATAACACGTCGATTTTTGCCGTAAAATCAGTCTCCAAATTCTCTTGAACCAGCGATCGACGGCTAGCATTTTTTGATACGCGCCTCCACTCCTCATAAAAATGTAAACATTTTTAAAAACATGGACACTATGTATCACAGGGATTCTACATTTTTCATTCCATATTGGAATTACAAGATCAGAGGTTTTTGACGCACCGCCATTGACATTAATGTGCGAAAACTTCACATAATAGAAAAACACTTTAAGCACTTCCAGAATTTGGGGCAATTTTCTTTCATCAAATTTTTCTTAAACTTTTCCAATTAAATTTACACTAATCGCTTTTGATCGCGTAAAGGGCTTACGATTCGACAACATCGCACCTATCTTTTTAATTAGTCCTTAATTAAACCTCTCATGCAAACCTCTCATCAATAGCAGCTTTTATTTCCCGGAGATTTTCAGGGCTGTTCTGTAGTTATGGCAAATTTTCCCCACTTACACTCCTAACCGTACAAACTATATATGTATTTGTCACTCTTTTCATCACTTCCTTGTATGGCTCATATTTCCTCATCTATATTGAAAAAGTATAATGCATTTTCAATATGGATAGAAAATGTGGATGCTTTTCCACTGGATATCCCCCTCCCACCCCACCGTTCGTTCCTCTACGCCGTTGTAAAGCGGCGATACGCAACCCTGCCGCGCGCGCACGCTCAGCGGCGGGCCGGCCGCGGCGCGCCCCGCCAGCCCATAGCCTCACGTCGTCATTGGGCCGTTTGTGACCTTACGCTTCAAGATACGGCAAAACGGACGAAATTTCTGCCCTAAAAGGGCCGTAACTTGCCATTTTCCTTCAGAATTGATGTGTCGCTTGCCAAAATTTTTGAATTTTGGGTTTAGGCCCTTTAGGCCCTTTGAGGCACGGGTTAAAATTTTTTTAAAATTTTTTCCTTTTAGGGGGTTCATTTAGAGACTACATAGAAACTTTTTAGGGGTTGACCAACTTGATTTTCGCAAAACTCAAAAATAAGGCACACCCTACCCCCCGCCCCCTCTCAATATTTGCTCGAATTTTTTTTTGAGGTTTTTGTAGAGAGTGAGAGTAACTTATGTAACTGTATAGAACTTGAATACTTAGGTACTACCTATGAAAAAAAGGATGATTTCATGATAGATAAGATGAGTTTTTTAAAATCAATTTTCAGAAACCCTTAAAAAATGTTAAAATGCTCGTATTAGGAAATCTTTGTTTAACTTAAATTAAATTTTCCGCTTGGTGACAACAAGAAAGTCTTAAAATTTACTTTAAGGGTACTTCTTCAAGCGTTTTTTTTTTTTTTTTTTTTTTTTTTTTTTTTTTTTTTTTTTTTTTTTTTTTTTTTTTNTTTTTTTTTTTTTTTTTTTAAATTCTTTTAAAAGTTCCTAGCATTGAAAAACTATTGGTGATAATATGTGCATTTTTTTTTTTAAAAAAAAGAATTTCCTACATTTTACACCTCTTAAATTTCCCTTAAAAATACCCAAAAAGGGTTTCCTGAAAATAAAATTGTTTCAGTTCTCCTTCGATTCCTCCTTTTTGAATTATTCGGGGACTGTCTTTTGCGCAAACAAAAAGTTTGGTCATGTGCACTGTAAGTACGGCCGATAAGGAACCATCACCGTACTCACGGTTATACGACCGAACTTTTTTTATTTACTTTATAGATTTGAGTCGTGGGAGAGTACCTTTTTGAGTCTAATATTTTAACGTCTAAAAGGTTACGGTCCGCCTGACGGTCACTTCGGCAGCCTGACAGCAAGGACAAGAATCAACGTTTTACTATAAAGAAGTGATTATAGTGTTAAATCTTTAGTTTTTAAGGCACAAGATTTGCCATAGATTTTAGATTAACCTAACACGCCTATACCTGTTCATTGCCCCATTTCCTTTTCAATCTTGTCCTCTGTCATCTTGTTATCTTGTCCTCCAACTACTGGAGGACAGGAGGGGAGTGCCGATGGTATGCTTTCATCGCGTTTCCGGTTCTCTTCTCTCTCTCTCCTTTAATACGGGCACACCATTTTAAATTTCTAACTCTTGTCACTTGTAGTTTAATATTCTTTTATAATGTAATGTATTTAAATTGACCAATAAAAGGAAAAAAGAAATAATAATGCAGCATGCTTAACTTCGTCTTGTCTAGTGCAGGCGCGGACTGGTAGTCGAAAAGTTAGGAGGAGACCTAAATGTAAGGGCCCCTCCTGTCGTTCGAGGGCCCCTCTAAGAAGGTCCGGGGGCCCTCCTCCGGTAAATTTTGAAAATTTCACACTTTTTATACACGTAGATATTATTGGAGTTGGATTCTACAGTACTTAAACTTCAAAATAACCCATTCTCAGGATTCATCGGAGGTCCCTTCATCACAAATAATTTTGGCGACCTTCAATGTCTCTTAGAGACAAATTTTCAAGGAACTCGGGGCCTATTAGTGATTACAAAGGATAAGAAAATTACAACATTACGGGAAAAAAAGATGACTCGAAAAAAATTCGCCGCGCGGGCCCCTTCGGAACCTCCGCGGCAAGTTGTTAGGGGGCGATCACCTCCCCGCCCCCATGGCCAGTCCGCCCCTGGCGGCACAGGAAAGCCGAAAAACCAAGCGGGGACGCTACTTCAATATTAAACTTCCATCGCCTTGCAAGGGGCAGGGATTCAGCTATTTGAACACTTCGGAACGCGTGAGGTATCACGCTTCAATTGAAGGCGTTTTCGAATCTTCTGTATTTACATGACGAGACTTTCCAAGTTTGTTTGCATTCTATTGTCGATTTGAGTTCCTTTTATTACTTAGTTAAATTATTCCAGCTTTTTAATTTTTATTTATTCTGCAAAAATTATCTTTTTACGAAATACAACCCTGGCTTTAGCGCCCATAAAATACGTTAGTTTTTTGCATTTTATTGTAGAACTGAATTCCTTTTGTTATTGAGTTAAATTATTCCTGTTTTTTTTTAATTTTTAACTATTAAGTAAACATTAGGTATTATCTTTATGCGAAATACAATCCTGGCTTTAGCGAACTTAAACTACGGCAACTACTGTAGCTGCACAGGAAAACCGAAAAACACAAGAGGACGCTACTTCAATATTTAGCTTCCATCGCCTTGCTTAGGCGCAGGGATACAACTATTTGAACTCTACGGAACGCGTGATGTATCACGCCTCAATTGAAGGCGTTTTCAAATCTTCTGTATATACATGACGAGATTTTCCGAATAATTTTGCATTATATTGTAGATTTGAGTTCCTTTTATTATTGAGTTAAATTATTCCTGCTTCTTAATTTTTAATTATTCGGCAAAAACTATCCATTTGCGAAATAAAGCCCTGGTTTTAGCGCCCTTAAACTACGGCCTTAGCGGTCGAAGTACAGTAGCGGCACAGGAAAACCGATGATTAACGCGGGGACGCTGCTTCAATACCTATTAAGCTTCCATCGCCTTGCTAAGGCGCAGGGATACAACTATTTGAACTCTCCGGAACGCGTGAGGTATCACGCTTCAATTGAAGGCGTTTACGAATCTTCTGTATTTACAGGACGAGATTTTCCAAATTTTTTATCATTATATTGTAGATTTGAGATCCTTTTATTATTTAGTTAAATTACTCCTGCTCCAACATTTTTAATTATTTTGCAACACTCTATCCATTTGCGAAATACAATCTTGGCTTTAGCGCCCTTAAACTACGTTAGTTTCTTGCATTTTATTGTAGATTTGAGTTCCTTTTGTTACTTAGTTACATTATTCCTGCTTCTTAATTTTTCATTATCATGCAAAAAATATCTTTTTGCGAAATAGAAACCTGGCTTTAGCGCCCTTAAACTCCGGCCTGAACGGTCGAAACTGCAAAATCGGCATAGGAAATCCGAAAAACTAAACGGGGACGCTACTTCAATATTAAACATTCATCGCCTTGCTTAGGCGCAGGGATACAACTATTTGAACTCTCCGGAACGCGTGAGGTATCACGCTTCAATTGAAGGCGTTTTCGAATCCTATGTATTTACATGACGAAATTTTCCAAATTTTTTTGTATTTTATTGTAGATTTGAGTTCCGTGTATAATTTATTTAAAATACTCCTGATTCTTAATTTTTAATCATTCTACAAAAATCATCTGTTTGAGACTTACAACCCTGGCTTTAGCGCCCTTAAACTACGGCCTTAACGGTCAAAACTGCAGTAGCGGCACTCTAGTGGTCCATTTCTTGCATAGTAAGAAGCTAATTCCTCAATTATTTCAAAGAAATCCGCATATGTACTCCTGTAAAAAATTTAATCGGCCAATTGAAGGCAACAGCTGATGAGGGCTTGCTTTCTTTCTGCTAAAAGCGGCCCGATTAAGTCTCTAAAGCTGTAACCATTTCTTCTTTTTTTGTTCGTTCCAAACACCTCTCAGTATCCGAGTTCAAAGTGGCAGTAACCTATGGACACGTTAAATTTCCTCAATATGAAACTTTTTACGGGTCGTTATTTTGTTAAAAGTAAAACTTTTAGTAACATTTATTTTAAAGGAAGAGGCTAAAGAGGTTGGGATTCTAGAAAAAGTTGCCCCTCCCGTCCTTCAAGGAGGAGCTCGCCTGAAAAGTTTTGGGGAAAGAGACGATTGGCGGTGGTTTAGACCTAGGAACATTCCCAAAATTTAAAATGTCTATCCCACATACGAAAAATGGGAAAGGGGTGGAAACCAACTTTTTATGCTAGCTCGGCGAGGTATGAGGGTTGATTTTCTCGCAGGAGAAGCGTGGAAAATAACATATTGATTTCTTTTCCATGATACATGGTAATCTCAGTATTTCCAGGAAAGTTTCATAAGGCGGTTTTTACTTCAATATAACTTCCAAACGGCTCGCATATATTCCGTGGAAAATCGCACATTTCTTAAGACACCTCCCCCTCCCTAGCAGGACAGTGCAACGAAAATATTAAAATGAAATTCCAATTTGCAAATACAATTGTAATTTTTTACCGTCAAATTGCAATATTTTTACAGCATTTAATCAATTTATGCCGATTTAAACATCAACAAAATGAGCTTCATGTGTCAGACAGATAAACAATATGCAATGAAACGAAAAATTGCAACCTGTTTCAATTTTACTGCAATAGGTTTCAATAAATGGAGCCCCTTCAAATAGGAGCTAGGCAACACACACAACACTCATGGTAGAATTTCAGTATTTTTACCATGCGATTGCTACATGGTAGAACCTTTCATCAAGAGTCGATATTCATGATGGGTGTAAATTCAATAAGGACAGTGTTGCGAACATGCAAGAGTTTAAGCCCAATTCACACTATCGCACCTTTCATTCAACTCTTGAATGCAACTTGCTGTAATGAAAAGTTGGATGGTGTGATACTGACGCGAAAAACGACAATTTGATGAAAAATTGAACGGAAGCTTGAATGTGACGTCACATTCAACTTTTCGTTCAACTTTCTATCTAATTATTGGCACCGCATGATGAAAAGTTTGCTAGTGTGAATTGGGCTTCATATTAATCGGTTTTCTCAAACATTTGAAACATTACGGTTAGATGAGGCTCGATAATGAAACAGGAATGAAGCAATAATATTATCTCATGAATAAGTTCCCGCCCCCTTTTATCATTATTTCTTCGAGGCTTTGTCGGACTATCAGGTCAAACTAAAATTTGAATATATTGTTTAAAAACGCTTCATTTGCCGTATATTACGAGTTTGACTCGGCTAGACACGCACGACATCAGTTTACTTCCATACTCAGTGCGAGCACTATGGAGCCATGGTATTAAAAGTGGCCCTTTCTGTTATGTTTCCACTTGCTATGATTGAGGCTAGGGTAAGGGACAGTGCGTTTAGTTCAACTTCATTTCAGTAGGTATCGACATCCAAGTAGCACAGTGCAACGAAAATATTGAAATTAAATTGCAATTTGATTTCAATACCATTGACATTTATTTTTACATAAATATATTTACACAATTTAGTCGATTTATGCCAATTTTAAAGAATAGACAAAATGAGCTCTATGTGTCAGACAAGTAGGCCGTATGCAATGCAATGAAACATTGCAACTTACTTCAATTTTATTGCAATAAGTTTCAATGAATGGGGCCCCTTCAAGTAGGAATTAGGCAACATACATAACACTCAGTTGAATTGCAACGAATTGCAATGGCAATTGAATGTAATTGCTACTTATTGCAATCTGTGATACTTGGGCAGTGAGAGTTGAAACACGTGTTTTTCGATTGCAATTACAGATTTTTTATTTGAATTTGAATTTTTATTTGAAAGAGTTATGAACGATATTACCGCAAGTAGGTATTCTGTATTGGACGAAGAATGAATAAAAATTCAAATATAAAACAACGTGTTTTGGCCCAAAGAATCGACTCCTTCAAGATTCGTACTTAATCGTGGAACACCCTGTAGATCCCTGAATATATTTATAAGCTGATATCGTAACTTTCTTCGCAGACGACTCCAGCTGGAAGTGAGGATTTTACCGCGTTGCTGGAGGAATTCAAACAGTTGGAGCCGATTCGAGAGGCAGCACTCGAGGACGATCTCAGGAAGCAGAGGAATGATTCTGAATCAGTGAAACTCCTGGAATCCTTCAAAGAAGTCCATTCTTACCTGACTACCTACAGAACTCTTTATGAGTCCGCTTATGTCGTTTTGAAGGCCATGGAAACCAAGCGGAGAAGCAAGGAGACCGATCAGGTATCAAATAACGTTTTTTCAATAAACCAAGAGGGAGAAAAAATTATCCAATTTGATTCGAAAACCAACGGATGTGTCCCATTAAGGAGGGTATTTTGGCCCTAACTTTTTTCGAAAATTGAAACAGCTTAGAATAATGTCATGTATGGTCAAATCGACTCTTAATCATCATCTACCCTCTGGGAACTTGTCCTTATTTGAGGTGTTTTTGAAAGGTTTTTTCCTGATTCACTAGCGCAAAGTAGTGAAGTTTTGCAGTTTCCTCGAATAATTGCTCATTTTCGGTCCTAAATTAGACTGTCTATGTATGAGCACAAGCGACTACCACTTTCATATTCGAATATGTTAATCTTTATAGTACATCCATTGCAACATATTTAAAGGAGAAAGTGGTAGTCGCTTGTGCTCATATATACGTAAACAATCTAATTTAGGACCTAGAATGAGCAATAATTATTCAAGAAAACTACAAAACTTCACTACTTTGCGCCGGTAAATCAGGCAAAAAACTTTCAGAAACACCTCAAATAAGGACTAGTTCTCAAAGGGTAGATGATTAAGAGTCGATTTGACTATATATGACATTATTCTGAGCTGTTTAAATTTTCGACCAAAGTTAGGGCCAAAATACTCTCCTTAATGGGACATATCATTTACGTACGAGTGTCTGGGGCCGCCGTCTTTAAATTACGTCTCCCAAGTAGGGTGGAGGGGGGGTCCAGTTGTGGATTACGGTGGGTGACGGGGAGGGAGCGGGGTGAAGCCAAGGATAACGTAAGCTTTCCTGAAGGCAAAAAGGCTGAAAATCTTGCTTTATTTTTATTGATTATCCACGTTCTCCCCCGATAAG